GCTCATTGTTAAGGCTGTGCGAAACTTGAATATATTTAAGAAGGTCTTCCTTATCTCAAGTTTTCAAAAAAAAATGTTAAAAATCCCACCGACCTAAAAACAGAAAAATTAGTTTCTCAAAAGCGACAAAGCTCTGATCTTTTTTGAAGCCACCTTATCCCCTCTAAAAAGTTGTCGTCTAATGCTTCAGTTAAATCGTAATTTCAATAGACAACCATCGACAAAATCAAATTTCTGGAAAACCTGCCTTTTTTGAAAAATAAGGAAGATGATAAAAGATGACTTGTCTTGAAAAATTTTTTTCTAAAAGGAAAACAAGATTATTTGTCTTGAAAAAGGCAAAAATCAACCCACCAAAACGAACGCTGTACCTTTAATATAGTTGTTAGTTTCAATCAATTCTGAAAAGTGACGCTATCAGCAACATGAATCCTCCTCAGACATTTTATCTGAACCCAGTTTCACCTGAATGTGAATCTTATCTGCATCCACCTGTTATCTGCAGGTGAATTCCATCTGCACATATTTTTGTACCCATTCCTAATTTCATAATAAAATCAACCCCCCCCCCCTTGATATCAGATCAGTCCAACCGACATCAAGAGAGAATGTGTAACACTATGTGGGCAGTCCCAACATTCGTTTGACCCCTAACCTCTGGGGTAGTCGTTTCTTTTGAAAAATTCCTCTCACAAAAACTCCCCAATCTTTTTTTAAAAATATTTTAAAAATATTAGGTCGCCCTATCCCATATGTTTTCGAAAACTTAATATTCCAGCCCATCTAATTTCTGGAACTCCAGAAAATTAAACTAAGACCAGAGCAATTAAACTAAATTAAGACTGATGAGAAGTTAGACCGACACTTGGACAGTTTTTGGCAAATCGGAAAATAATAAGGTGCTGCAGGAAAAGTTCCCATGGTTAGATTATTATTAAAATTTTTATAAAAGTCTCGCGGCTATACTGGTTGCCCACATCCAAGTTAAGGCGTTAGTAATCGATTAAACTGGATTATTATGTTGATTGATTGACAATTATAATTGATTATATTTACCAAAATTAGGTGTTTGAAAGATTTATATTCGAATGTCCGAGAGTTTATAGTCTATTATAATTGATTATACTTCATGCAGAAAAAAACTGTTTAATCAATTATGATTGAAGCTATCCATTTATACTCTCTTATTTTGCCAAAAATTTGTCACAAGAAAAGTATGTTTTAATTATATTCTGTGGGTTAACATTTTTCTAACAAAAACAAAATCACTAAAAGCGGGATTTCTTGTCACACTTTGGTTTATTTGAACACAAAAATATACCATGACAGAAAAGACATCCTTCTAAATTAGGTGAAACGCTCTCGCTATATGTGAGAATTAAGTCTTCTAAATAATTCTTGAAACTGGAGCATTGCGCTGATATTTTGGTGGTTAGAACAAATTTAAAATGTACATCATCAAACAACTTTAATAGAGAAATGAAAGTATAAAAAGTAACAAAAATGAATTGATTCGAAAATTGTTGAATACAAATATCTCATTTTTCACATAAGCCATCATCATAGAAAAACCTTAAAAAAGAAAAACCATTCAGATGCATTGAAGAAGACAAAATAGGCCACAAAAAGGATTACAATCGATTAAACTGGATTTTTGGAAAAAATCATAAAAATAATAGTTTATAGTCAAAAAATAATCGATTTTATTTGTATCAAAAAAATATTTAGGCTTATAACTGCTTATAATTGATCAAATTGTGTTTTAATTGATTATAATTGGACTTGAAGATTATATGAAGAGAGATTATAATCAGTTATTAGTAAATTAAAACCATTTTTTTATCTATTTCAGACTGGTTCTGAAATTATAATTTAATCAACTAGTATCGCTTGAACTGGATGCGGGTAAAAATTAGATATATCAAACAAGAGTATTTTAAAAGAATTTTGGCCTGAAGTATTTCTTCTCTGTTTTTTTTGGCTCAACTTTTATTGGCTAGGCTACAGTTACTCAAAAAATCAAAAAAAAAACGCTGAATTTTCCCACCCTGGTTGACCAAAAACGCTTAACATACAATTCTCATAAATGGGAAATTTCTTTGCATACAGTTTCCTACATATCCATACGTACAGAAATTGTATGGAAATTCTATAATAAACATTTCCTCATAAATGGAAATTGTATGATAGGTGTTTTCTCCATAAACCAAAAAGTTGTATTTTGTTTCTAAACTTATTTTCCAAAACAATTTGGGTTGTGTTGCAGCCGAACACAAGTGTCAAAGACCTTTGTTACTCAAATCACCAAAGGTTGGACGGTCATACATTTACAATGCATGAAAAACGACCTGAAGTGTCTTCGAGATGTCTTTCACAAATGATATAACAAAAATAACAAACTTTTAATTTTTGGCAAAATTTTTCAGTGCTGGTTATTTTAAAATTTTGAATTTTCAAATTATCAGACATTGATTAAGGCATACATGAACAGACATTTAAAAAAATAAGAATTTTCAGCGTTTTTGAAGAAAAAAAAACATTTATAAACAAAAAGAAATAACAAAACCAATATTATCGTATCCAGGACTACGTTATGCACACAAAACATTAAAATTTGCATGCAAAAAAAAATTTTCGGAAAATGTTTGTTTTCGTACAAAATTCGATTTGCGATTGAAAAAACATTTTGGAGCCAATTTTCAAAATTGTATGGAAAGCATTTTTTTCAAAAAAATATTTTGAATCAGTTTTTTTTGTCACCAGTCTGTTCAACTGTTCTTAAAAAGCCGCAGAAATAGTTTAATTTTTTTTCTATTGTTTTTCGAAAATGTATGAAAATTGTATGACAAGCATTTTCTCCATATACTTGATGTATGGATATGTATGATAATGATTTTTGTTGTATGGAATTGTATGTTAAGCATTTTCGGTGTCTGAAGGTCAACCCGGTTAGTTAGTATCCGTAAATACGATTTTATCGTGATTAGAAGTTTAAAAGTTTTACGAGATTGCACGATCTCAAGGTTTTATTTTTCAGAAAATTGCTTAAAATTTTTTTAAAATTATTTTGAACAAATAAAAAATTAATTATACCGTTTGATACGCCCACAATAAACTTAACTTATAACAATTTTATAAACAGTCGGAGTAACACAGGTCGGAGTATGCGTGGCTCTTTTTCAAGAAGCGGGTAGTTCAAGTGGGTCTTACTGCTTGTAGCTTTTCCAATAGTACAAGCAGTAAGACCCACTTGAACCAAAAGACCCAAATTAAGACCCATTTAAAACAGCAAACAATGTTCAGTTGCCTTTCAATACGTCCGAAATATTCTCGCTATTGTTTTTTAAAAGGTTTGCACAATGAAAGTGTTCAAAAAATTGAAAACGAGAGATTTGACTTATTTTCAACTTATTCCATATTTTAAAGCGATTACGGAAAATATGCATCCTGATTTTTGAGTATTTGTTGAATTTATTTCGCGTGTTAGCTTCCAAAATCAGAAAGAGTAATAGTATCAGGGCAATGCTGGTGAGTGTTCTGTATGCTCTGGCTGCTTCTAGCTTCTAACCGTTTATGAGCTAGTTACCCGGGTTGCTCAAAAATGCTTATCATACAATTGTCACAAATGGGAAATTTCTTTTTAACACAATTCCATACGTACAGAAAATTGTCTGAAAACTCTAGAATAAACATTTTCCCATAAATGGAAATTGTATGGTAAGTGTTTCATCCATAAACCAAAAAGTAGTTTTTTGTTTCTAAATTTTTATTCTGAAAAATTTTGGGATGTGTTTGCAACCGAACACAAGTGACGAAGACCTTGGTTACTCAAAGCACCAAAGGTTGGACGGTCTTACATTTACAATGCATGAAAAACGACCTGACGTGTCTTCTAGGTGTCTTTCACAAATGATATAACAAAAGTAACAAACTTTTAATTTTTGGCAAAATTTTTCAGTGCTGATTATTTTAAGTTTTTGAATTTTCAAATTATTAGACATTGATCAAGGCATACATAAACAGACCATTTAAAAGAAATAAGAATTTTCAGCGTTTTTGAAAAAAACAATTTTAAACGAAAAGAATAACAAAACCTATATTATCGTATCCAGGACTACGTTATGCACACAAAAAAATAAATTTTGCATGCAAAAAAAATTTTTCGGAAAATGTATGTTTTCGTACAAAATTCGATTTGCGGTTGAAAAAAATTTTGGGGCAAATTTTTGAAATTGTATGGAAAGCATTTTTTTTCAAAAAAAAATTTTAAATCAGTTTTTTTTGTCACCAGTCTGTTCAACTGTTCTTAAAAAGCCGCAGAAATAGTTTAATTTTTTTTTCTATTGTTTTTCGAAAATGTATGAAAATTGTATGACAAGCATTTTCTCCATATACTTGATGTATGGATTTGTATGATAATTATTTTTGTTGTATGGAATTTTATGATAAGCATTTTCGGTGTATGGAGGTCAACCCGGGCATTTAGTATCCGTAAATACGATTTTATTGTGATTAGAAGCTTAAAAGTTTTACGAGATCGCACTATTTCAAGGTTTTATTTTTGGGAAAAATTGCTTTAAAATTTTTTTAATTAAACCTAAACAAATAAAAAAAATTAATTATACCGTTTGATACGCCCACAATAAACTTAACTGAAGCGGTGAACAATAATGGGTTCTAATCGAATTAAAATGGATTGAAGTTCAAACAAAAATTTTTGAAATTTATTCCGAAAAGTAATAGATTAAAATGCATTTTACTGCTTCGAAAAATACTACCCTTATAATTTAGTTTTAATCGATTATAATCGATTTTTTTTAAACCCCTAGAGACTGACAATAAAAATCTTTGTAATCATTTTTTCACTGAGTGCTGGCAGGTTTAAGACAACCTATACGTGTAATTATGTGTTCATTTTAGAATCCGTTCGATTGAGATTTTTATAGCTGCTGAAATTGCACAAATTGGACTTTTGATTGACTGCTCCAGTTTGTTTTCAGATGGAGAAGGCAGCTCTGGCTAATATGAAGTTCCCCTCTATAAGCGAGAGAGGCGCGGCGCCCTGGCCAGACATTGAGTCTCTAATCTTTCACTGCACTGATCCCAAAGAAGACGAAAGACCCCGGGCACGAATTCAATTAGACACTAATTGAATAATTAATTAAAACATAAATAAACACAGGTTTTTCAAAATATAACTTTGCGAAATCTCAACTTTTCATAACGATCAATATCTTCTTTAAAAAAAAAGTTTTTTGTTCAGCTTTCCATTTTTTATATTTGAGGTCGAATTATACTTTTCTACCTACACAGTAAACAACCTACAGCTCTTGTTTTATTTGTGGAGAAATCTGTATGCGCAAACTGAACTAATTTGAATTTTTTTCTTTCTTACTTAATTCGATAGAAGATATGGTTCTGCTGTAAGGCGCAACTCAATTCAAAGATTTCTTTAAATAACCCCTTCAGTTGCTAAGGCGGGTTCCATTTTTGTGAAGAAAAAAAAGTTATCTGCATAAGCTTTGGGTTAATTTTTTGCAGGTTTTATACTAGGTAATACAGGGGATATTAAAAATTTTCTTGTTAAAATGCGGCGTTCAATCAAAAAATGTTTTTTTTTTTTCAAATTTACAAGCAAAATGTGTTCTAATTGAGTTCTACGGTACTTTTTCTTGTAGTCAGCAGATTTGGTCCAGGTGATCCAGGCGTATGACTTCCAGCTGATGAGGAGGAGGGTCAAACTGCCTAAAGATCTGACTGACAACTACGTGGTCAACTGCATCTCAGCAATCAGACGAGAAACAGACGACGAATCCCTGAGGTTAACTTAGTTCACATACAACTGAAGAAATGTTATTAAAGATCAATATTGACCACAAAAAACTCTAGAAATGAAAGTCAAATAAAAAGAAATTTGCCGCCTCGCCTGGTTTTCAAACTGAATGGCAGTTTTTTGAAGGAAACTGTTAATTTTTCAAATCTTCTTAACTTATTTCCATTGAAACTCTAGGTCCTAGACTACGCAGAACGCAAACAGTTTGCTGAAATTCAGTTAGTATATCTTCTGATCTTTTTGGTCAAAAAAGTATTCTTCTGCAAAAGTTAAACTTTTTCCGAATTGTAAATTTTTTGCTATATTTTTCTGCAATTTTCTTTCAATTTTTTTTTTCCAAAATCAGGATTCTAATCGGGACTGGATCTGACAAGGAGACGAAGTCACATGTCATCAGTATCGAGTACTCTAACGCAAAGACCACACACACTGCAATAGCAGTGCCTGAGAAGGAGATCATGTGTCTCAAAATAGTATCCGATGAAGAGATACTCATCGGAACCTTGCAGGTAAGAGATAAAAAACGAACAAATAAATCAACGCATCCATCCACCACAAAAAAAAACACTCATTTATCTCTGTCCTTAAACTTGTAGCTGAAACCAGTAGCGGATGGTGTGGGTTGGGGTGTGCGTGTTAAATGGACGTTTTTTTCGCCTCAGGGAGAGAACCCCCATCCGACCCAAAGATTGCCCCTCTTGGAACTATTTTAAGACCTCAATTTTGGCTGACCGATTCTATAACTTTTCTGAAGGCGATCTCGTCGCCAAGACTTAGTAATTTTGAGGGGGGAGCGCAAGCCGGAAAACACGGTATTTTGTAAAGAAATTTTTCCAAAAAATGTCTAAAATGCGCCTGTTTTTCAAAAAGTTCGCTTTGGTGCAAAATTTTGTTCAAAAACGGATCTTAATACAGCTCAGAAAATCAATTTGGTCGACCTTTAAAAAGTTGACACTTTTTTGAAAAACTCCAACCCTCACTTGGTTAAATCAAAAATTTGCCCCTGACTAAAACCTTTAAGATATTGCTTAGTGGCTAAAATATTGCCTAGTAACTAACTTTTCCGTTTGCAACCAAATTCATCAAATTCAATGGACTATTTTAAGTGGACTATTTTTTGTCACGGCATGAAAACTATCACATACTAGCGTCAGTAAAGGTCGCTTGAGTTTTCTTCAGTGAGACACCTGAAGCGACTCTTTAACAGACATTAGTACAGTATAGTTTCTTCCAGTGACAAAAGCCAAAACTGCGTCATTAATTTCGCATTGAAGTAGATGAAATTTATTGGAAGTGGGAAAATTCGTCGTTACCAGGGGCGGATTTAGGGGGGGACGCCCTCCCCTCAGGGATTCGACCCCTTGCCGACCCAAAGGGTCCCCCCTTTGGTAATTTTTAAGAAATTCATTTTTGGCCTAGAGAACCAAAAACTTTTCTAAAGGTGCCAATATATACTAACTTTGAGGGAGAGCGCGCGCCAAAAAAAAAACGAAATTTTCTGTCAAACTTTCCCAAAAAGTGCCCAAAAACGGTTCAGGAGAGCTCGGAAAATCAATTTGCTCGACCTAAAAAAAAGAAAGTCGTCAAAATTTTCGAACGAAAATGTTACAATCCGCCCCTGGTCGTTATCCCTATTACTCAGCATTGTGCTAAGTTTCTCTAGCAGCTAATATTCAAACAATTGGTTCTATAGTTTAGCAGATTTTTTTGACGAAACACAATTATTTCAACTTTAGTCATGGTCCCCTAAAAATTGACGTTGCTGAAAACTTTTTATCTGAACCAAAATTTGAGCTTTAAATTTGTAGTATTTTCTATCTACTACGCACAAAAACAGACTTTTTATTGTATTCCTTTAACCAAAAACTTAAGAAAGGTAGAAAGGTAACCACACTAGGAAGAAATGGATTAAATCGATTTTTGCAGATAATGTAGCAGGAATCTAAAATAAATTGATTTAAAGTCACTTTAGTTTGATTGAAAAATGTAGCTTAAGAATTAATTTCAACCGATTTAAATCGATTTAAATCTTCTTTGTCAACTTTTTTTGTTTTCATTTTCCTACGGCTTTGAGTAACAATAAAGTCTATTTAAATCGATTTTAACGGCTTTTTTGTATGCTCATTTTATACGGATTATATTCAGACCACCCGCACCGAAGATTCATGAGTAATAATCGATTATAGTGGATTTTTGTTAGCGACAATTTTGTCTATATAATCGATTATCATGTCAAATTTAGATCACGTAATCGATTTTTAATCGATTATAATCGATTATTTTGGAAAAATATAAATCCATTATTTTCGATTAAAATCTATTTTTATTTTCAATATAATGGATTATTTTTTGTACATAAAATCCATGAAAATTGATTGAATTTTGTAAATAATGACTCTAATTTTTGCAACTTTCTGCAAAACTCGAACGAACACGTTCATCCAGGGGCGGCCAATATGTAGCAATTTTCCAAAAAGTGCCCAAAAACGCATTTTGAAACCCCCCACCCAACAAACCCCCTCCCCAACGTTCCCCCTCCCCCTCCCCAACGTACCCCCCAACGCACCCCCCCCCCCAACGTATCCATCCCCCCAACGTATCAATCCACCCCAACGTACCCCCCCCCCCCTCCCCCAACGAATTCACCCCCCCCCCCCTCCCCCAACGTAACCCCCCCCTCCCCCCCAAAAAAAAACCAATGACGACGTACCCCCCCTCTCTCTCTCTCTCTGGCTAGGGGACATCTAACTGTAGTACGGATAAGCGTAGGGGGGGAATTGGTGTGGGATCTATATGTAACTTCTTGTAATTTTTCATAACTCGATTGAAAATAGGAAAAAATGAAATTAAGCGAGAGAACAAAATAATTAACTTAAGTTTAACAAAATTATGAAAAAAAACAACACACAAAAAGATTTGAATAAATAGATTATAATCCATTATAAAGGATTGAAATGGATTAGTTTTCTTTTGATAAAATTTTTTGAAAATGATCGATTATAATCGATTATAATCGATTATATTGGAATTTTATTGCTTAAAAAATATTATCATTATAATCCATTTTCAATCGATTATAATCGATTATTTTTGTTATTTTGTAGAGACTGACAATCAAAATCCAATATAATCGATTATTATCCATGAAACTTCAGTGCGGGCAACCATCAAAAATTGACCTCGTAAAATTATATCAAAAAAGGACCCTTTGAAAAAATTCGGCAGTTAGAATTGAGAGGGGGCGGTCAATCCCCCCCCCCACTCGGCGCACTAATGTATCCTCTATTATACGCAGTTGTCGTAACCTTCTCTGCTGTCTTTAGGGATCCCTCTACAAAATGAATCTGCAGTCAAACAATGACTTCTCCAAACTGCTCCAATTTCCGGGAGACACGATCCTCAGTCTGATCAGCTGCATCACCCACGACAACTCCGAAGTAATCATGCTCGGCCTCGCTTCGGGCACTTTAGTGTGTGTCGACAGAATTAACCTGCTATCAGGGACTGCATTTTAAATTCGGTGCCAAAAACGAACCCAATAAATGATAATTTTTAATCTTTTCACCATTTCGATTTTTATTGATGAGAAACGCATATTTAGAAGTGCTTGTTTCATCCAATTATACGCTTTAGTTTGGATTTTTATGCTTTTTTCTGTCAAAATACGCATGGCCTTAAATACAATCGTTCAAAAAGCCAGTTTATTTAAATTTGAGTTGACTTTTTAGCTGTTGCTTTTCGATGCAAATAGCCCAATTTCGATGAACTGCATTGTAAAATTTTTAATTTTATCAAGAATCAATTTTCAATCAGGAAATTTTAAACTATTCAAAAAATCTAATTAAAATATAGTTTCCTTAAATTTCAAAAAACTTACAAAAAACTAGTTCCCTAAATTTCAAAAAAAAATTAATTAAAATGTAGTCTCTCTAAATTGTCAGATGTGGACTTCACGAGTTACCAAAATGAGATGTTCATTTTCAAAATGGTCTCCGACTTCGGACGAGACACAGCCGAGACTCCCATCTGCAACCTCATCAACACTAAAGAGGATTTGCTGTGGCTCTCTTGTGGCTCCCAGTTGATGTATTACGAGGTGTTTTTGAGCGACAGGCGACTGAGTGAACAGACACAAGACACGTTTGAAGTGTTCGGAGTTGAGCCGAAACCCGTTTATAAAAATAACAGGTCAGTGTCTTAACTAAAATTTACATAAATTATCATTTTTTAGTTTATTTTAAATGTTCGTTTTTCAGATTCCTTGACTAAAAATTCCTTTTTGAAAAAAAAAGGTAATTCGAAGTGATTTTTTTCGTATAATTTTTTTCTTTAAAAATAGCCTAAATTTCCGTTTATCTTGAAACGCCTAATTTTATCATTATTCGTCGTTCTTCTAATTTTTCTCATTATTATTGTAAATTTTCAACTGTTTATTATAGAAATACAATAAATCATTTTCTCCCGTTTGTAGTTTTGGCAGAGAGATCTTCTGTTCAACCTTTGACCCCAAAGAAGCGGCTATTAACAAACTGCTTGTGCATGGCGATCATGTCGTACTGTCCAGAATTAGGAACCCAGTCTTAGAGGTCAGTTTCATATTCACCCACTGCGTTTTGAACATTTTCAAGTTCAGAATTTGCAGATCATCTTTTTTTTTAGCTCTTGGAGTATATAGAAAAAATCTATATTTTTGAATCGACTGTTTGACCGAAAATCAGTTGTAATCGTTCCTGGAATTGAGTAATTTCGAACAAGATATATTTTTTGTTTTTCCATCTGAAAATACTTGAACTTGTTATGCAGATGTGGCTCTTTTAAAGTTCCCCCTTCAAAAAACCGAGTTTTATGTTTGGTTTACGTTTTATTACGGCTGAATGCGTGATCTTACGCTGCAAAGTATGAAGAACAAATCTGTTCACAGTTGTCGATTTGTTCACCACGCCAAATTTCCCTGCATTATGACAACGTTAAATAAGTTTTTCAAAATTGAGTTTGAAAGGGGGGAACTGGAAAAGAGCCGCAGATGTTTGTTACTATAAATTCCTGACTTTTTTTCTATCCCAGACCTATATCTGGATCTCTTGCACCAGTTTTCTGCTGTTAACAAAAAATTCAAATTGTTTAATAACTTGTTTCTCTATCCCAGACCTATATCTGGATCTCTTGCACCAGTTTTCTGCTGTTAACAAAAAATTCAAATTGTTTAATAACTTGTTTCTCTATCCCAGACCTATATCTGGATCTCTGGCACGAGTTGCCTGCAACTTGTCTGCAAACTTGACCTCTCCTCACCCCGAGTGTTCAAATCTACTGCAGTGCTGGACAAGCAGAAGAGTGTGTACAGCATCAGAGACATGACACTGGTGGGCGATCACACTCTGTGGGTGTCCTTGAAGAGTGGACATGTCGTGGTTCTAAATCTATATCATGCAGATGACACTGACAAGGTTTGAAACCAGGAACGGAACAAAAGGCTTCAAAGAGCTCAAAATTTTTAAGTGCACTCACTCCCCTTCAAGCGGACCAAAACTTTTTATGAAGAACTAAAATTACCCCTTTTCCCCACCTCCCAAAAAAAACACCCCCCCCCCCTCTCCCACCTACCAAGAACACCACCACACCCCCCTTTGATTATTTGGAACAAACTTAGTTTTTTCGCCAGGAGATTAATTTCATAATCTCGACTGAACAAGAACAAAAGATTTTTTTTCTTCGTTCCCAAAATATGAGTCAAAAATATATTAGTGAGCAGCAAAGTTTGGCCAGTTTGCGCCATTTTTTAAGCTATACAAGTTATAACAACATCGGTATGCAATTTTTGAAAAAAAAAATCTTTGACTTGGTGAAATTGATCATTAACTTTGCATAATCGTTCAATGACCCATGCTGCACAAATCTTTTTTTTTACCTGACACAGCTGATAAAAAAATCATTCTCGTAAAGCTATGCAGTTCTAACAAACAAGATTTATTAGTATTAAAAGTGTGCAAATACCACTGTTAAACTAATCTAACTAAACTAAGTTAAAAGACTGAAATAATGTGGTTGAATTAAAACTCACCGATGTCTAAATAGAGCAACTAGTGACGCGAAGTCCACTGGACTTCGCACGGCTACCACCTAACTGGTATGTTATTAACTGATAAAAGTCAACTTAACAATACATAATCACAACAATCCCCAAAGCTTGAAAAATTGTATCTGCACTATCACTGGGTAGCCAATATTGCACATATACTCCATTCTCCCCTCACTCCACAAGAGCTAAAGTTTGAAACAAAAAGAATCAACTTTTAGCACCAATGGAATATACAGAGAATATACAAATTAACATGGAGATGAATATGTGATAGTATTTACAGGCTCCCTACAAAATTATACAGATATATACAGCGAATGAACCACTAGGTAATAGAAAGTTATGTATCATATTAACAAATAGAACAAACTAAACTAAACTGTTAACTGAAATAAAAATAGATTAATCTAAGGTCTAATGTAAAATTTCGCTAACGTTAGGAATTGGAAAATAAAGTGAAATAATAATACCAATGGTAAAAGTTAACGCTACTTCGAGTTCGAAATAAACACGTGAGTTATATGAGTTTTATGATGTGGCTTTAAATGTTTCATGAAAATTGTCGGCCTCTTTTCTGACTTCTGTATCTATAATCGATGATATATCGCTTTCCTCGTAATTTTGAATATCCACTAAACCTTCTACCAATGGAGATGATATGACTGCAATTTTCGAATTCATTGAAGAAGTGGTCGAGGTTGATCCTTGAGTTGTTTCAGCCACTAAGGTTGGTTTGGGTAATACATCCTCCAGTGGTGTCAAGCTGAAGGTGAATCAAGGGAAAAAGTCGTCATGGCTTTTTTGGTCGCCGAGAAAATTATAAGTGGCTCTTCTTCCGAGTCCAGGGTGTCCGTAATCGCGGTTGCAGGTGACGCCTGTTCAATGAACCGCCTTTCTCCATAGAATTTGGGTAGGCCTGGGTTTTTTCTTGAGCGCGACGAACTGCACATAAGGAATTCTGTTACTGCCCTCATTATTTTCTCCGGTGAGCTCGCAATTGATATTGGGTTGTCACTGGTGCCATCGGTTGATGTGATGAGCGTTGTGGGAGTGGCTTCACTTGCAAATGTTCGTCATGACTGAGCTAAAACACTATCACCACTAAACGTTTGGGAACTATGAACAGCCACCGGTTCAGCTCCCAAACAATCCTCTAACACATTTTGCCAATGATCTAAGTCTAGTGAAGAAGAAAGATCCGAGTAAACGAAATTTGAACATTTAATGGCTAAGACTTTTGTTTTAGTCTTTTTCGTAACATTCGCTTCCGTTGGTATGTATGCTGTCGATGGGCCAGTTCATTGGAGTCCCTTCTTCTACACGGAGAAATTCTCTTGAGTTTCCCTGCTTAATCATAATTACTTACTAATGTATTCGGTACCGATAAAAGTTTACTAGGAGCCAAAGATTTAGTTTTCTTGAAGGCGAGATCCGATTTTCTAAGTACATGGCCATTATCTAAGGTTACCTTATGTGTTGTATCAGACAAAGGTTTTCCGTCAATGAGTTTAAAATACGGTTCGCCTTCCCTTCTGTTAACTGTCTTCCTAAACCAATTACCTCCTTGACTGAAGGGGTTAGAAAGTGGGGCTGTCTGTAGGTCTTGATCGGTTTTATCCGTCGGGTCGCTCTCGTGTCCCCTCCTGTCCCGTAGTGTTTCTTCCAAATAATCGTCCTCTATGATGTCATTCGCTCCCCAGTCCTGTGCTCTCTCTCGACAAAATTGACTTCTCTTTATCTAATTTAATGGCGTGTGAGACCAATGATTTCGAGAATGTATTGGGTGATCTATTAAAATGTTTTAAAAAGGTGGAACATCCAATGGATGATTTTTTCGTTGAACGAAGGTTCCAAATGATTTTATCAATTGCCACATTTAGAGTTGACTTAGGTTCGTTAAACGACATTGCTATCAGTTTTGCTTTTATCGTATAAATGAGGCGTTCTACGACTCCATTGGATCTATGATCTCCGACTGTACAAAAAATTAGATTAATATTCTTCTTCTCGCATTAGTTCTTAAAAACGTTCAAAATGAAACATGACCCGTGTTCCGCTCTAATAGACTCCGTAGATGACAGTAATCCGACATAAATACCTAGACAGGGAAGCCGAGGTATTGTTCGCTACTTTAGCCGACGGGAATTTTGAGAATCGATCTATGCATAGAATGAGGTATTTTGAAGTTCCCCAAATTTTCTCCAATGGGCCAGCAAAGTCCAAGTCTAATTGTTCATTTGGTTCTGATAAGACTGGTAATTTGTCTATAATTTTTGAGCACAAAATAACTTTAAATTTCTTACCCGCCTCTATGCACTGAATGCAGTTTTTCCCGTTGTAGTAAATCTCTCTATACAAGTGTGGCCACCATATATTTTCCGCTAGCGATTTCATTCCGAACTGTCCTGGGTGCGTTTCGTGTAGTAGTGACATGAATGGAGATCTCAGAGCTGCTGGTACTAGTAGTTTGTTGTCAATAATCAAAAGTCCTTCCTTCACATGGATATCCCGTTGGAAGGTTTTTAGATAAGCTCCAAATCTATCCAGGGGTCTGCCGTCTTCCACTGCCTTCTTCACGTCCTTTAGTATTTTTTCCTCGTTTGTCATTAATTTGAGTAATTTTTTTGAGCAGTGTTCCGTAAGTACTAGTGGGGTACTGGGTAACTTTAGTTCTCCTATGTATTTGGCGAGAATTTTTTTGTCTATTTCCGATATAATGTCGTTATCGAAGTTTAATGTAATTCCTTGGCTTTCTGCCCGAAGGGAAATTTTTGATGTTTTGTCTGACAAAAGGAATTCTATAAATGTATTTTCGTCTGCTTGATTTCGATCGACCAGTTTGCTAATAAAGAATGAGATTTAAAAAAGAAATTTGTTTTGTCTGAAAGTAAAAATTAATTAAAATTGAATTTGGCAAGATTTTGAGGAATACAACCGCTTGTGCAAGACTCTGAACGCGAGTAATTAGAATTGCAAATTCGTATTGCGTCTGTGACGAATTTAAGAACATTCGCGAAGAACGACCGTTGGATGTGTTTTTCTAATTATTTCTTTCCGCCCAGGGCTTTTCCTGTTGGTAATCTCGATAATAAATCTGTGAATCCCTTTTCTTTTCCTGGGATATGTTTGATTTTAAAAAAAAAGGTAAAAGTCGATTTACCCAACGGGTCAGTCTGCTGTGCATTGTTTCAATACTTTTATTTGCGTTTAATGCCGATAAAAAAGCCTTGTAGTCAGTAACAATTTTGAACTTGGCGCCATATAAGTAATTTTGAAATGCTCATTAGCCCAGACCACTCCCCAAAGTTCCATTTCATTGTCGAGTATTTCATTTCTTGATGATTTAAAAATTGGAAGGCGAATGCTATAATTAGCCATTTTTCTCCGTCCCACTGTTCTAGTGTGGATCCCAACCCACTGTCCGAAGCATCTGTTTTTAGTCTTGACGTCCTTTTTATGTCGAAGTGAATGTTCTCTGTTATATTTACAATCTGCCTTTTTAATTCTTCGAAAGTTTTCGTATGGGACTCGTCCCAATGGTAAACTGATTTTGTTTCACTAATAAAGGAAGTAACGGAGAACTTAGGGTTGATAAATTCGGGATTAACTTCATGTATTGCTTTATCGAGCCAAAGAATGACCTTAATTCGGAAATATTTTTCGTGTTCGGGAGATTTTTTATTGAGTCTGATTTCCCCACCAATGGTTTTACCCCCGGTTGGTATATCTTGAATCCCAGCCAATCTATGTCCTTTTGAAAGAACGCACATTTCTCCCACTTGACTGCCATGTTCTTACTATCCAAAATGTTTAAAAACTTCAAGAGTATCGCTTTGTGTTCTTCTAAAGATCCTTTTGAGGCTATTAAAATGTCGTCAATATAACAGTTGGTAAATGGGATATCTTTTAGTAGCGAATCCATTACCCTTTTAAATTCATTAGGCATATCGCCCAGTCCGTAGAATCCCGTTAAAAAACGATATGTCTCGGTGGTTTCACCCCAAACGAGGCCGAAATTGCATCGTTTTCTCTTGTCATTGCATAATTATAATTGACTGTATGCATTTTTTAAGTCTTAATTGCTGAACCATACTTACCCTGAGTTTTATTTGAAAGTTGGAGGGCAATGTTGCCGATAACTTAGTGTATGTTTGGCATTTGATATTTGTTCTTGAATATCTGATCGTTTAGTAGTTTTGAGTCTAGGGCTAATTTGATACGGCCATCCTTTTTCCTTGTGATTACAGTTGGACTAATGAAACAGTCTTCGTCACATTTATTTAGTTTCACAAAATGCGCCTCTTGTTCCATTCTATTTAGTTCTATTTTTACACTTTCTAATAGATGTAAGGGAACTCCTCTGCCTTTTGTTTGGATAGCTTTGAACGGGGAGTGAAAATGAGTGATCTTTCTGTCCAATGGTATTTTTCCTACTCTATTGAAAAGTCTTTTGAAATTATGATACAAGTTTAGGATTGTATTCGAATAAATATTTCACGATTCCGGAAGTGTCACGTTGTTAACTGGTATTAATGGTTGTCTTTGCGCTATTTCTATTCCAATTCTGGGTAGATTATCGTTTCCTAAGTTATTCCTATGTCCAGTGGTAATAAAAAATCGAGTTTCTTCAAAGAACCCTACGTTGGATTGTATCCTGACTACTACTTTCCCCGATGATATTGATTGTGTCGTTGGTGAAGCCGCAGTATAGTTCACAAACTTTCCTGTCGACTGTATGAATTTTCAGTTTCGGTTTTCTTAATTTCAGCTCGTGTAGGACGTTCTTTAAGAAGCTTACCGGACTAGCCGAGTCCACTGGAAAGTTCATATTAACTATTGAGTCTTCTCCCAATCCAATGTTTACGAGTTTCTTAGTTTCGAGGCCGTTGGTATCGTAGATAGTTCAAATGTTCAACACGGAATAATCGTCATTGTCACTTGTCCCCTCTTCTGTCCACGCGTTAATCACCCAACAAAAATTTTCACCTGTTATCGCTAGTGAGTCTTCTGGGGAATATGAACAATTCTGGTTATATTCAGTTTCTTCTACATTATTTACAACTGGCCTTTCGATTTAAATAGTCTTCAAAAGTGTCCTTTAAAGTTACAAATATTACAAATTACTTCCTTCGCCGGACACACGTTCAAATGTCCTTTGGTAAAAGTGTTTCCACATTTCATACAGGTGTTGGATCTTTCTATGTTCAGGCTTGTTTCTTTTTTTACCGCATTACAATTTTTGTACACTCTACCGCTATTGACGTTAGATGCCCTTGTTATGTTTGTTAGTTTGAGGTGGTTATTGTATCCTTTCTCGTCTATTATAGTTTGGTTAAGTGCGTCCACTGGATTAAGTGTTTCTGAGAGCACTCTTCGTTGTAAGTAACAGTTCTTCATGTTAAAAAAAAACACGTCCCTTATCCATTCCTGTTCAGCGTTGCTGCCAATCTCGCAAGATCTTGCTAAGTGCGACAGCGCTCCCGAGAAATGTTCGTAGAATTCCTCATTCCTTTGTTTTCTGTTCAGCAGTTTGTAACGTTCAAACGTGATGTTTCTAGGTTTTATAAATGCTGCCTCCAGTAGGTCAAAAAATTCATTAAAAGATTCTTGCTAGGACTTTCAACCTTGGGCGGTTTTGATAAAAACATTCCCTTTCCTTCAGCTCCAAAGCCAGGTATAGGATGGATCTTATTTTTTGTCGGCCTCGTATCTCCTCATGCCTCCGAATTTTCGTTTCTGCTCCAACATTCGCTTCTCTTCTGATTGTTCGTAAATTCGCATAGTTTCTTTGTTTCTTTGTTCCTCTGTCGTTCATTTTCTAAATCCTGGGCGCCCTCCAATATAGCGATTGTAGTTTCCTGTTCCAATTGTTCGTTTAGGTTATCTATGTCTAGATTCTCTTTGGCAATGATGGCCAGCTGGAACTGATCTATCCAGTTAGTCCATTGGGTGGGCGGTTCTACAGTGTGATTTGGCCAAAAGGCGGGAATTCCCAACAGATTCAAATCAGTTGATAACTGCGCCATAATTAAAGTGTGCAAATACCACTGGTAAACTAATCTAACTAAACTAAGTTAAAAGACTAAAATAATGTGGTTGAATTAAAACTGACCGATGTCTAAATAGAGCAACTAGTGACGCGAAGTCCACTGGACTTCGTACGGCTAACAACTAACCGGTGTGTAATTAACTGATAGAGGTCAAGGTCACTACTTAACAATGCATAATCACAACAAATAGATATTTAATTGATTAATTTCACAAAAAATTCCTTCAATCAATCAGTGGATACTTTATTTCCCGGTACAGGTGAAACTTCTGAAACGACACGAATTTGACACACAGTTACTTTTCACGTCGGAGGAAACCGAGACCAGCTGCGACTCTGAATATATCCCTCTCGTGTTCTCAGTCGGAAAAGGGTTCGTGGGACTCCCGAAGTTCTCCCGTGGGGGGAAAACGACGAAACAAACTCAAGACTTGCGATGGAAGCCTTGGAATATTATCTCGTGGAAGGCTTCAGAGTTGCTATGATTCATGCAGATATACTAACATTTGTGTAAACCTCATCAAAACCTAATCTTTTTAAATGTAAACTTTCAATCAAAAACATGATATCAAAGCTAACATTTATTATTTCTTTTCATTTCATTTCATTTAGTTTCATATCATTGGCTATATTTATACGCAGAAAATAATTGTGAAGGTAAATTTCACATCAAAATTGAAAATGGGAACTATTACAGCACTCTTTTCTCGCTTCACATCTCTGGGACTCATTGATAATTTTTAAAGAAAGAAAATTACATCATTTAATTGAACATAATTAGGGAAAATTTTAACAAAATGTTTGATTATTTTGCAAAATTCTTTGTTGGACATCCAAATTTCAACATAAAATTGAGCAGCTAAGATTAAATAGTTTCCGAATAAAAGTCGGTTTTGAAGGTCGAAAGCTGAACTATGTTTTTTTTAGTGAAAACGTCACAACTCTCCATCCTCCAAGTCCTCAATTGGCCATCAATAAGATTTTAATAAAGTTAAATTTCATCCTCCAAAATGCCTCCTAAGAACTAAAACCAAAAAAAAACAATTATCAACCTACCGTTCAAGCGCACAAAATTTTTTTATGGAACTTAAATTGCGCCCAGCTTCCACGAAAACCACACCCCCCTTTCACGCGCACAAGAGTTTTTATTTGGAATTTAAAAACTGAAAACTGATTACTGAGTAATCGGGCACATTAATCTAATCAGGTAAATTGAACAACAAAGTCTGAATGATGCTGCTACAAAAAGCCGCTGATATGCAGAAAAAAAATAGATTCGTTTGTGCTTCGCTTGGCTTCACGGCAACTCGCCCCCAACCACTCGACGTCCTGCCGACGGCACTCGCAACACCTCGGCAGTGACTACTTTGTCCTTGTTCGCATTGGGAGCAGCGGCATTTGGCTTCGACGGGGGATCAAAGAAGGTCCTTTTAAACTTCAAAGGATCCTGTTAAAACAAAGAAGACAACATAAAATTCGAAGTTTCTAAATTTTTTCTTAACTAATTTTTAAGTTCAATAATTGAACTTTTGTTCCCCTTTTTCGACCACTAATGGTGAAGGAACTTTGGATTTTGCTTGAGGGTGAGGTGAAAATTTTCATTCCAGAAAAAAAACGAAATTTGCATTTAAAAAGTTGAACAGTTCGTCCGATGGTCCTTTCTCTGCGAATAATTTTTTTTCCACTTTTTTCACTCTCTGAAACGCACATATATGCTGTTCCCAGGTCTTTCCCATCACCAGCGAATTTAGGTGGAAGGGGAGTGCAGGACGCCCCCCTCCTCAGAGAATCGACCCCTTCCAACCCAAAGGGTCGTCCCTTTAGAATATTTTGAGATATCCCTTTTTGGCTGACTGACCCTTCGGCGCCAAAATATACAAATTTTCAGGGATGAGCGCCGAAGAAACGCGATTTTTGGCCAACATTTTCCAAAAAGGGCCTAAAAACGTCTTTTTTGGCCTGTTTTTTCAAAAATTGCCTGAGTCCCGAAAATTTGGTCAAAATGGGGTCTTAATAGTGATTTCGGAGAGCTCAGAAAGTCAACTTGGTCGACCGAAAAAGGGGTCGACAACATTTTTAAAATTTTTTTGAAACCCCCCTCTCGAGAAAATCCTAAATCCGCCCCTATTTCTTATCAAGTTTAAGCCAAAAAAAACTGCCGCTTAAAAATAATGCACATAAAATTTGAAAAAAATAACTAAGCGCTTTTTGCACAGCTGTCGATGGTTACTTGTTATTTTCTCTAAATAAAGCCCCCCTTGCCTGTTTGTCCTGAACTAGCATGCAGGTGGGGTCGTTTTTAGGCCAGTCGTAGTAGATGGCCGGCAGATAGCAGTCCGGTTTGGGGGTGCTGTCATTGTTCAGGTGGGCAACCGCCGCAGCCAGACCAGAACTGGCTCTCTAAAACATCAGGCCAGATATTAACATAAAAAAATTATCTCAAAGAAGTTTCCAGCAAATAGCGTTTTATGCAAACAATAATGGCTGCTAAAATTTTTCCAAGGCACCCGATTTACGACATTAATTTTAACTGTTTCTTATTTTAAGAGCCGCTGAAAAAGCGCGTTTTTATAGAGTAAACTTTTGAAAAAGTGCTGCGAAACGCTTTTTTTTCCCCTGAAAAGTGTGACATGCTAGCTGGAAAATTCAGTGGTTGACCTAGAAAAAAAATCATCAAACTACTCTTCAAACGCCACTCCCAATCATCAAACGCCACTGCCAATCATAATTATACAATAGCAGCGACCGAAAAAAAAACAAGTCTTGACTTGTCATCCTAATTTACTTGCCGGCCTAATAATTGCAGAATCCCTACGGTTTCCTAGTAAGGTAACTTAATCATTAGGAAAACTTAAGCCATTAACCTCTGTGCTATAGGCTTCCGGGCTTGTTGACTAAAATACGTATTGATATATTGACCTTGAGTAGTGGCATGCGACTGATGGCGTTGCGGAGGTGTTTCGCATTGCCCCCTCCTGCCCCCTGACCCCCCGCTGTCTTGTAGACTGACCTCAGTGACCCCTGTGGGTTGACCTCTGCCTCCTGCATCCTCTTCAGGTTAATTAACTCCACCACTTCATATCTGCAAAAGGGGTCAAAAAGTTCAAAATTACAGTTTTTTTATACTGCGCATTTAAAACGGTTGCAAGAATCTACACATACTTCTCCATAATCTGGAGCCGGTATAAGGCTGATGAGTTTTTCGAGATTTCTTTCAAATTATGGAATAGTATGGCTAATATTTTTGATGAATGGAATGAAGTTCAACCAAAGGGGAGGGTGGGGGGGGGGGGGGCTTAAGAGATGAGTTTGACACCTGAAAGCGGAAATGTCCTGTTTGATCTCGTTGAGGTCATCGTCTGTGATGGGGGCAATATCTTGCGTCTTCTTCTTATTCGCAATGTACAATTGGGCCAAGTTAGTAATCACAGCCTAGAAAACAAAACATAATGAGGAGCATGCATCGCGGGCCGAGGTGCTCACTTCATGTTCGACCAAAAATCGGTATGTTTCGACCGTACGCGACCAAAAATCGGTATGTTTCGACCGTACGCGACCAAAAATCGGTATGATTCGACCGTACGCGACTGAAACAAATGTACTCGACCGTGCTCGAATCAAGCAAGATATGCTTCGACCGTACTCGACCAAAAAAACATGTGCTCAACCGTACTCGATCCGAGCAAGATATGCTTCGACCGTTCTCGGCCAAATTCGGGTATGTTTCGACTTTCAAACAACGTTTAACCAATAGAATTTGTGCTTTTTGGGCAACGCGATATAATTTATTCTTTGAACGAATTAGGCGATAAAAATTATGCTTTTCGCGCAACATCTTATGATCCTTTCTTATCAAAATGAATTGATCAGAGTTATTTGCATTTTAAAAATTTTGCGGAGAAGAATTATTTTTGAGCTTTTTTTCATCTTTTGCAATACTGGCTTGCACTTTGAGTCGAAAAAATTTAAAAAGTTTTACGCAGGACAATCGGTTTGTTTCGACCGTGATCGAAATATGTTTTGACAGGTCTCAAGGTATGTTTCTACCATGCTCAAGGTGTGTTTTGACCGTTCTCGAGGTATGCATCGACCGTTCTCGTAGTATCTTTCGACCATGCTCGAGGTATGCTTCTACCGTGATTGAGGTATGTTTCAACCACGCTCGAGGTATGCTTCGACCGTGCTCGAGGTCTGCTTCGACCGTGTACGCGGTATGTTTCGACAGTTCTCGAGGTATATTTCTACCGTGCTCGAGGTATGTTTCTACGTGCTCGAGGTATGTTTCTACCGTGCTCGAGTCATCTCTCGATCGTGCTCGAGGTATGTTTTGACTTTGCGCTCGACCTAAACCCCTGTCTATTTTTTTTGTTGGTTGAGCAATTACATGCGCTCGATGTTGAATGTCGAAATTTAGAGAGAGCACCTCGGCCCGGGATGGTTCTATGGAAGCCAAAAAAATTGCCGACAAATCTTGATTTTAAAGAAACACATAGTCAATAATTACGCGATGTATGGTTGGACATTTTTGAACAAATTATTTATACATGCAATAACAAAATACCAATCAGAAATACTGGTAAAGGTTTGCATGTAATATTAGGGTCTCTGTGGTTACAGAGACCCTAGTTTGACACGCAAAATTTTGCCGGTATTTTGATACGTGTTTTGTTAAGATATTGCTTTATTTTGTAGATGCTCCCCCGCTTTCATTATAAAGTTCCAATTAGTTTAGCTCATTTAGTGACGTCTCATTTAGTATAATTTTACTGAGAGGAAATCTCGCTCCAGTGACAGTAATTTTTGACCAATTTTGAAGGATGCTTTTAAGAAAATAGTTTCCATTTTTCCATTTGCTGGTTGTTTATTGGATACTTGACAGCCCACTACCCCTCCCGAAAAAACTTTTATCATATACAAAAAAAACTTTTTAAGTTCTCCGTTTTGTTAGTTTTGTTCTAAATTAATATATGAACTTATCATTTGCCACTTATTGTCTTCTTTTGATTTTTTTCTTGTGATGCACACAAAAAGTAATTCCCGTTTGCGCTTGAGTACAAATATTTTCTTTAAGATTTTTTTTGCACTTGAAAAAGATGCGAAAAATTGTTTGGGTGCAATGTTGAAACTTACTGAATGATTTTTTGGTTCCATCTCTAATAAAAAGCTAGTCACGTAAATTGCATCTATGGAAATTGTATGATTAGCCTTTTTTTGCCAAAATTGTTTTTTTAACTAAGAATATACTGTGCCAAAACAAAAAAAAGCTTCTTAAAAACTTCGATTACTCCATTTTAGTAAAACTGCTAGATAATTAATTGACTGGTACTTTTGGCCTATAGTGGTCAACCCGAGAAATTATGCATAATGGCACACGTAAACTTATCTTTACCGCCTTTAAACGCAGTCACCTCCTCAAGGGGACTCACCTGGTACTTTCGCTCGTTATCTCGCATCACCCTGTTCAGTTTCATGGTGGTCTCGCGGGACTCCAGCTCCTGCAGTTCCTTGATGGCCTGTTTTCGGATCCACCCCACCAACATCATCAGGTGTTTCACAGTCGGCAACAGGAAGAAGGGCGCCGGAAGGGTCCCACTGCGCTGAAAGTAGCTGATCCACAACTGAAACAGAAAAAAAATCAACACAACGCAAATTCGCGCATACACTGAAAGTAGTTGATCCACAACTAAAATAGAAAGTAACCAAAAAGTCAATACTGAGCAAATTGACATATAAAACTACATAAATTGAAAAAAAAAAGAGTGGAAGACCATTTCTTACTATATCCTATCACGTTGGGAATTTACAATACCATGGGAATTTACTGGGATAAAATATAACAAATATTAATTCAACGTAAACAAACATCGTTATAAGGCATTCTAATGAACTGAAAGTTTTGATTGGGTAGGCAATTTGTAGAATGTCGAAATCCTTCTACATCCAAAGTAAAAATGACGGTTTGAAATATACAATTTCAAAATATGGTTTGTGTTTCTCTCAATTAACCCACCTTAGCCCTTGCGAACTTCCATTCCGTGTCTGCATTACGCACAATTGTGTCGTAGCTCAAGTTCATCATCGCAATCAGCATGTTCAACAACACCACAATCGAAGCAATATGGTACACCACGAAGATAGCTGAAGAAAGAATTATTCAAAAATCAGAAACAAAGTACGCGATCTATTACTAAGTTTACAATTGCTGTAAAATTACTGAAGTTCTCGACCAATGCGGTCTATTAACAACACAATTAAGCATATAAAACATCCTTTTAGGAAAATCCAAAGGCAAACAATCATTTTTATTTATTTTTTTAATTCTTGTAGTGAAATTGAAGAGTTGGCAACAATCTGATGTTTTTCTGAAAAAAAAATGTTTTTAGAACCTTTTGTAAATATTTTTTCAACCTATATTTGATGCCTAAATTTTGTGTAAAGATGTTGGCACTCTACAATTTTCGGATTCATCAAAAAAGAACAAGCTTTGGTAAGGTCATAAAGGCTGTATTACAAATAAATACAATTTAAACAACATGCCAAATGGGGGCTAATAAAAAGTGAGCCATGAAAAGAGGATCCATGAAACGGGAGCCATTCGTCAGTAACAATAAAATACGAGCCATTAAAAAAGGAATCATGAAAAGGTAGAGCCATGAAATGACTAACATATGGCGACCATTCTGGTGAAAGCGTGGTCTTGGTTGACAGTGGGGGCAGACAGGTCCACGATGCCCATGTTGGACCAGAAGAGGGTTATCATGGAGAACATCATGTTCATGAACTGGCTGTTCTGAATCTTACACACCACACCCTCACAGTTCAAAGTTCGCAGACGCTGAAAATTAGAAACGAACAGTGGCATTTTGTCGCATCGGTTCTGATGATGCCCAGCAATCATGTGATTGCGGGTTCAATTCCCACAGGGGCAGCAATTTACTTGCTGAGCTCTCATAAGATCCCCATAGCCCAGTTGAACTTGAATAACTAACCTTCGGGTAAGGCCTCTGACTGGTTAACTAGAAAAAAAACATTGGATCCTTTACCATTTTGCCCCTCGAACCTCAATGTTTTCGTTTTTGTTCACACGGTCCAATTATCATGAGATACAGGGGCGAATTTAGGGTGGGGAGAGGGGGCGGACGCCCTCCTCCTCAGGGATTCGACCCCCTGCCGACCCAAAGCCCCCTTTGAACTTTTTCGAGATATCCATTTTTGGCTGACGGACCCATAAAATTTTTTAAGGCGCCTTTGGCGCAAATATATACTAATTTTGAGGAGGGAGCGCGCGCCTAAAAAACTCAATTTTTTGGTCAAAAAATTTTCAAAAAGTGCCTAAAACCGCTTTTTTGGCCTGTTTTTTTTTCAAAATTTTACCTGCGGTTTTTTTAGTACTTCGGGAGAGCTCGTAAAATCAATTTAGTCCATCTAAAAAGAAGAAAAATGTCAACAAAAGTTTCAAAAATTTTTTGAAAATCCGCCTCCACCACCCTCGAGAATAGAAAAGTCCATCTAAAAAGAAGAAAAATGTCATCAAATGGTGTCGATATGACTTATTGATAAATTATCACGTTAAAAAACTTTTTTGTCCCCCTATACAACTTCGTGAAATTATAGTTATGATAGTTTTAATGATTATGATAATTATGATAATTATAATTTTGATAATCTATCCCCTGCCATAGCAATGATAGTGCGTGAGGACGAGCTCTCACTTGAACTCTAGCTTCAGGTTTACCACAGCCTGGCCGATTACGGCTGCAATAGTGGTACCACCTGAAAGTTCTAGACGCAAAAACTGCTTGAGGTGCAAAAAAGAGCTTCTCTCAGCGAACTAGCTCGGCCTGGAATGTGAGCAAGTAAGAAAAACAGACTATGCTTAGGCAGGCTGGATAGCCTTTCGTCAATTCTCTGCGAATCGCAGAAACCAACATCATACCTGTTGCTTGTTTCTGGTTGATGAGGGCGTGGTAAAAAGCCCAAAAACTGTTTTCAGTCATATAATATAATGCTTTCATAAAGTGTTTAAGGGTAGGGCGACAATTCGTAACAAGCGGCAGCTCGTAACAAGGCATTGGCAAGTAGAATATGCTTGCTCCGCTGCGCTTACACTGGCACGAGAGGAATATTGCGCGTGAATCAGTGATCCCGCTTAATCTACTGTTACGAATTGTCGCTTGCTACGAATTGTCGCTTGTTACGAACTGTCGCCTCACGGTGTTGAAGATTGAAGAAAAGGTTTTCTAGAAAAAGCAATCGCTGTTATTAAAATTTAAGTCAAATTGTTGATAATATCAACGGCTTTCAGGAACTTAATCGTTCAAAAAACGATGCTTTGTATTTTATTCCGTTCGACTCATAAAAAATGTTTTTTAAAAAAATGATTTCCGTCGTTAAAAGGCTGTTTATTTTCAGATTAATTAGCATTTTTGTTTGTAAACTTCGTTTAGATCCATAGTCAAAAAGGCCATGTCCAAAAATTTGGCAATAAATATGTATTCGTATCAAGCCAGTTAAATATCACCGTACGTTCCGATTTCATTCCATTTCTAAGCATAACTTACGGCTCCTTCGGCGTTGTACTCCAAGTAGAGCAATTGGTTCAACCCACTCGCAAACGAGAGCAGAATTAGGAAGAATATGAACATGAACTTGAGCACGTCGATCATCATCCTTCCCAGGGTTATCTGGAGGGGTCCCAACTCCGAGTTGGAGATGAAGAGAGCGAGGAGTTTCAGGATGCTGACCACATTCGCCACCGCAAAGCAACTCTCGGAAACCAGCCTAAATTGCGGATTGATTCATGAACTCGGATTTTGGACTAATTTTCTTATTTTTTGACACCATTTTTTTCGAGACTGATCCAGTTAAAGCGAAAATCTTTTGTATTCTACAAGAAATGTTTTCGAATTTTTTTCTTTAAGCATCGATTTTTTTCTACAAATGGATTTTCCACATTTAAACATCGGTTTTTTTTCTTCAAATGGATTTTCCACAATTTGGTGCTTTTTGGAAAAAAAATGTCGTTAATATTACCTCTTGCTTACTGAATTTGAATTATTTTGAATGAAATTTGACACTCATTCATCTTTGGCCAATTATAATTCCAGGATTAGTAAGAGGTCACCTACATGGGATCGGATGAACTCATTTGACCTCTGTTGGTGACTTGGGGTTCGACAGAGGGCATGAACCACACCACACATCGCAGAGATATAGCGGACAGGTAGGCGGCCACCTGGAAGAAGTCCACGATGTTCCACAGATTCTTCGTGTACTTCTTGAAGCCACTTTCCATTATCTCTGAAAAGTGAAATACAATAAGATAAACAGGCTCAAATATTAGTGATAAGGACTTGCAATAATGCTGTATCAACCTTAAAAAAAACTGTTTATCTCAAGTTGTTTCAAGTATATTCTCACCCAGAGGCGGATTAGGATTTCCCCTCGTTTTTCGTCACCTTTGGTACTTTTCAAGAAATCCATTTTTGGCCGAACAACCCTAAAATTTTTCTAAAGGCGCCTTTGGCGCCAAACTATACTAATTTTGAGGGGGGAGCGCGCGCCGAAAAAACGCAATTTTTTAATCGAAATTTTCCAAAAAAATGCCTAAATACGCGCATCAATTTGGTCGACCTAAAAAAAAGGTCTTCAAAATTTTCGAAAACTTTTTTAAAATTCCGCCGCCCCCATCGAGAAAATCCTAGATCCGACCCTGTTCTCACCCCCTCCGCTCTCCCGAAAAAAAACTAATACCACCCCTTATTTCGATGCTTATTCGATAATAAACCACAAGAAATCATGCCGATTCCGAACTACAGTTTTTCTTTCAAAGTAATATGTTGCTACTTGCTAAAAAAAGGTCTCAGATCACCTGGTTTCTAGGGAAGAGCGGGGGGGGGTGGGAGAGGGGTTGGTTTCAAAAGAGTCGATTTTAATCACCTTGTGTCTCTGCCACCAAGAAGGAGAAGACATAGCAAACGATGAACATCTCCACAATGTAGGGATTCCTCTCCCTGTCGTAGTTCTTCCCACTCACACTGGGATCCTCTGCCGACGTCAGGAACAGCAGGACGATGAATGCAAAGTAGGATGCGCAGTGGTTGACATACTTGATGAACGGATTCTAATAGAACCACAAAAACAACATTAAGTTTATGGTGCAAAATGAACCCAAGTTGGAGACAGTTTTCGAAGTCAAAATGAAATGCAAATTCTGGAGAACAGCAGTCATGAGATTAAATTGAAGACCACTTGATTAGGAAAACGACTTTAGGAAGGGGGAGTTTGACCTACTCTTCGCCCATGGGGTCCACCTTTGATACTGTTTTAAGACTTCCATTTTAACAAAATAGGGCCACGATTTCGTCACAAAAGGGCTTCTGGGTCAAATTAGTGTCATTATTGTCAATATTTTGCCAAAACTTTTTCAAAATAGAGTCATTATGATATTTTTGGAGAGCTCGGAAAATCAATTTGGTCGACTTAAAAAAAAGGTCCACAAAACTTTTGAAAAATCCGATTCGTGTCAATTGAGCCAGTTTTAGTCTGGATTTGAAATATTCTACTTACCTTGAGTATAGTTCTCAGTTCTGGCACAAATGGACCCAGAGCAATGTAAGAGAGAGAAGTGAAGGGGAAGGCCAGAGCCAGTCCAAACACAATACACACTTTGTAGAATAATCCGCCTTGACGCCAGCCAGGTATACCTGAAAAACCCACATGGTCCAAAAAAAATTAACGTTTAAAAAGTTTAAATTTCATATCTTTAAAAATAATTCGGAGAAACAACAAAATCGAAAGCATCAAATTATAAAAAAGTTCAAAACAATAACATGCTATCAGAAAAAAGAGGGTGTTTTAAAACTTCTAACGAAAAAACCGTTAGCCTAAGAAGGAGTGTTTCAAATTAGAAATGTTAGAAAAAAACTCGGATATAACAGCACAATGTAGTGTAGATGTGACTGGCCTTTGTAGAATAGATGACTGAGGAGCTGTTGACAACTGGGATGCGCTACGAACTCCTTCTGTTCCAGATCTATCGCCATCCGCAACCTGCTCAAACTCATGCGCTCCTAACAAACGAACATTTTCTTGTATAGTTAATTCTTAAGCTATTTCGGCAAACTTAGGCAGCGTGTGCTCAAAAATGATAATAGGCAGGAGCGGATCTAGGATTTTCTCGAGGGTGGGGGGGGGGGGGGGGGGGGCATTGCGGATTTTCAAAAACCAAATCAAAAATTTTTTCGGCTTTGTTCTAATGTGGACCAAATTGATTCTCCGAGCTCTCCCAAAGCATCAAAAAGACCCTGTTTTAGTCAAGTTTTCTGGGCAGCAGGCGAATTTTTGAAAAAAAACAGGCCAAAATGAAAAAATTTGACCAAAAATCTCGCTTTTTTGACACGCACTCCCTCCTCAATAATTGGTATATATTGGCGCCGAAAGCGCCTTTTGGTTTTTTTTACGGTCGCCACCAAATATATCAAAATAATACAAAGGGGAACATTTTTTCAAATCAGTGTCGCTATTTCTGGACGGTGTGTAAAAAAGGATATGTATAAAAAAGGAGAAATCACTCGCATATTCGACATTCATAGTCAATTAGGCCAATTGGAAAACAACTTTGAAGAAAATTGACAAAAAAAAAACGAACAAAAAAGCTGTAAAAAAAATCAAAAAAACTTCACAAATTTTTTCATTTTTTTCTTCTTTGTTTCACAGAAATTTTTTGAACTTTTGAAGTTTTGATTCGCAAATGGCGATAAAAAATTTTAAAAAGAACCAACTCGAGTAAAGCTAAAAACCATTATAAATAAAGTATTGTAAATGGATTAAATTAAGCATAAGGAAAGCCCGATCGCTTGCTTTACTCGCTCAAATTTAAACGAAAAATCAAAAATTTCAAACTGGTTTTACTCAACACTGGGAGAGCTTTTTGGACAGTTCTAAGTCTTTCGAATCACAATTGAAAAGGCTTCAATATGATATATCACTCAACTCAGTCCGATGATCATTTGTGGTATATGATTTTGCTTGGAAAACCAAAAAAAACACACACACAAATGCAAAGTTCCTCCCGTTTTTCAAGGGTAGCAACAAAATATAATCACGACCTATAAATTGTCTTCACTACGCTCATGGTTTTCTAAAAAAAATGAAACAATTTTTGCCAATCAAGTTTTATCGATCTTTTCTTCGACGTTACGAGGCCAATTTTTCTTTAGGAATGTCTCACAGATTCGACAATCTATGACAGTGGAACTCTGAGGCAAGCTTTGAAACATGGTAAATTTTCTAAAGGAGGCCACTCATCGAACGCTTACAAATTCACAAACAATAACCTTGTAATCAAAATTTTACGTAGCTTGAAACCGCAACGAGCAAAAACTTCATAGAAAAGATCGAAACTTTGCGCAAGCATTTTAGGCTGCCTTATTTTTTTACCCATTTTTCTCTGAATTCCACAAAAAGCAGAATATTTTGGTTGCTGATTCCTTAAAAAGAAATAGTTCAGTCTTGTGGCAGGATCTTGTAAAAATTCAGTTGGACCTCGTAATGACTTTTTTTTAAAATCTTTTTGCAAAAGAAGTGCTAAATGGAGCTCTGAAAACTATTTTTCCTGGATTAAAACTAAGTTTTTCACGGTTTTCAGATATAGGTTTTTTGTCTTGTTTTAACACTTACACGCTCGAATTGGGACGGGGCAAACGAAATTTTAAACCGATTTATCTCGACAATAAAAAAGTATTTTTAGAAAATTTCTAGAGTTTTTCAAACCCGGACTGAAAAATTTTCAATATAATAGGTCACTGAGCCATATGATTTCTGTGGTACCTTGTTTTGCGTGAAAAAACGTAGAACAATTTCTTGAAATTGCTTAAACACACCTGCAGAAAAATGTCCTTCACATTTTAAGTTGTCGATCAATTTGAGTTTTTTGTCAAGTTTTTTGCATTATGTTCTAAAGATTGAGACCGTTGAAGCGACCTCGTAAGTGCCTACCGCAGTATCATGCGGTTTCGGAGCAATGATTTTTAAAATCAACACATTTTTTCCATCGTCTTGCATTCTTCTATCCATGCAAACGAGATGTCTTTGATTTGCATTTATGAATAAAAGTTTATGAGAAAGCAAACCTTTTTCTCGTCGACATCTGCTTCGCTGCCTCCGAATTCGGAAGTGGTGGACTCGGCCTCAAGCATGGTCAGCACCTCCTCAGGGTCGGTAGTGCGATTCAACACCAACTTCAACTCCTGCCAAAAGCATAAAAATAGTTCAGCCTAAGTTCAGATTAGAATAAGAATCGATCCACTCAGAGAAAAGTAGTCGACATTTTTTGCAGAGTTTAATAAATATTCAAGGGATCTAAGATTTTCTTGAGGGCGGGCCGATTTTTTTTAAAGAAATATATATAAGAAATACTTCAAATTTTACTTTAACATTGGATTGAAGTTATTTTTAAGCTGTATTTGCGAACAACTTTGAGACCTCCAGAGATCTTAAGCAGTTTTCTCTCTTTTTTGTCTGAAGTTTCCGGCAGTATTAAATGATCAAACGAGTCGGCAATAGCTGTTTTACTTATTTGTCTGACTGAAAAGGAATGTTGGTAGCACTTTGCTCGGGCAGATCTGTTGTGTACAAGTACAACATTACTAGAAAAAAAAAGTAAATAATGAGGTGCGAAACTTGGAAAAATATATAAGATGTATAATAAAGCAATCATATAAGTTTTTTCAGACAGGTACAAAGTTTTGGTACCAATTATAACCAAGTGACAAGTTAGAGAACGTTATAAGTAGTGAGAGAACGTTATAAGATCAAATGGCCCTTTTTCGAACGTTTTTTAGCGAGAAAATTTTCAACTTATATAATGGCACAATGCAATATATATGTATTCCTCCTAAAATCTTGCATGATTTGCATTCCAGCAATTGGACAGAATTTTGAACTCTTCTAAGCTATCTCTTCATAACCCCCGTTAAACTCTAGACATCGAGTTCATTCTGTTCCTTGCTCCCAAAGGCAGTAGTGGATTTGGGGAGAGAGGGGCGTCCGCCCCCCCCCTCCACCTCAAAGAATCGGCCCACTGCCGACCCAAAGGGTCGTCCCTTTGTACTATTTTGAGATATCCATTTTCGGCTGACTGACCTTAAAATACTAACTTTGAGGGGGGAGCGCGCGCCGAAAAAACGCAATTTTCTGTCGAAATTTTCCAAAAAGTGCCTAAAAACGCCTTTTTCTAGCTTTTTTTTTCAAAAATTTGCCTGTGGCGCAGAAAAATTGGTCAAATTAGGGTCTTTAGAATGGTTGGTTTGGGAGAGCTCAGAAAATCAATTTGGTCGAGCTAAAAAAAAATGTCGACAAAATTTTCAAATCCTCGAGAATTTCCTAGATCCGCGCCTGCCCAAATGCATAATTTTGGTCTACCTGAGATCCCCGAATCTGGTCGAGCAAGTCCACCGCCAACTTAGTGCACTGTTTGCTGAGGATGACGTAATCGTCCTTGAACTCGACCTCTGTGAAGCTGAGTTTCCGCAACTCGTAGCTGAGAGTGAATGCAGTCCAGATAGGGTCATCACTCGAGAGGATGATCAGACTCGGACTGGCCAGTGCCTGGAAATAATTAGAGACATTGGATCTCTCTAGCTATACCCCCCTCCATCGGGTACCTAGCAGCGAATATCCCCCAACCCCCCTATAAAGAAATAAATCTACTTTTTATAATCTACTTTTTTACCTATTTAAAAATGCGTACGTTTTTAGTTCGGGGTTAAATCCCAATAGTGTCGACAATAGGGCATCAATTATAATTAGTAGGTGACTTCTGTGGCCTGATATAATCTTTGTCTATTTGATTGATTATTTCCTGCCTTGAATGCGTTGATGCGTGACTGGGAGTGTCGCAGACTGTCGAATTTGGCACTCTCCGCGCACTCGTAACAGCCACACTTGATCGGATGCGGCTTCGCAATCGTCGCTCCGCGTTGCACTGAAATCACAGCAGGACACATTTTACAAGGAAGGATACATTTGACAAGGAAAGGTTGAATAAACTTTTCTTGTCAATAAACAGAGGATTATAAACATAGCTGATTGTTTTAATCGTTTTTCGAGCTGCATGTCAATGTTTTATAAAAAATTTGGTTACTGTATTTTTTTCAGAAGTTTTTATTCTAAGAACATGACGACGTAAATTTCAACAAGGATGTCCGGTTGTTGTGAAACTAGCAGAGAATGTCCCTGCTTTTTTCTTATTGTTCCCTTTTCTTTTTTTTAATTTTCAAATTTTTTGTACGCGTTTATATAGAAAACAATCTGAAGACAGCCTAAATTTTAAGAATATTAGATAAGCATAGTAAAATAGTCATAATGAATGGACAACATTTTTTGTTTTCAAAACGGCTTAAAACAATTTCAACTTTTCAGCAGATACTTTGCTTCCCGCACTGACAAAAATGGTTTCGGATCGATTTAAACTGATTTTAAATCGATTCTAAATCGATCCAAATCGATTAACAATGTACATTTTACGAAATTAAATGGATTTTAAATCAATTTAAATCAGTTTTTTTTTAAATTTTAAATCGATTTAAGTGTCTGAATCGATTTAATTTTATCGATATTTTGGTCTTTTCGTTTGGTCTTCTTTATGCTACAATACGCCATGGATGTAAAATGAAAAATGATAGGCAATGAATAAATGCAATAAAAATTCGAAACTGATAAATCTCGAATGAAAAAAGTTGATTTAAATCGATTTTAATCCGTTTTAATTCCCTTAAAAGTAAAAACTAATTCAGACTTAAAAAAATGCATTTAAATTGATTTAAAATCGATTTCGATCATCTTTTTTAGCTGGGATTTAAGATCCAAATCAATCTTCATCTTTTTCATTTAATCTTCGTACTTTTTTCATACTAAAATCGATCTAAATTTAATCAACGTACTTTTTCATACTAAAATCGATCCTAATCCATTTTTGCTAGTGCGGGTTGAATTCGTGATTTTTTTAATCATGAAAGGCTCAAAAAAACGTCTTTGAAAACTAATTTTCTGGAGTAAAATTAAGTTTTATGCGCTTATACGCAGTTTTACGGCTTATTTTTCTTCACAAAATCTGCTCGTTTGCATTTTTTCCCCCACTTGGACTAACAAGCAAGAAATTTTAAACTTTTACAATCACGACTGAAAGATTTTTAATATTATATATCACTCAATTTTTTCCTATGTTGCTTTTTGGTACCTGATTTTGCCTGAAAAAGGAAGACGAAAGAAAAACTAAAACACACCCAAAAGCAAAAGTTCCTCCTTATCTTCAATGCCCGGGTTGACCAAAAATGGTATCCATACAATTTTCATTTGTGTAAACATGCTACTCATAAACTTTTCATTCAATTCCAGTACAGATTGTGCATGAAAAGTTTATGGTAATTTACTTTTTTCATTTATTCCATCATAAACTTTAGGTGGTGTTCGTAACGAACCCAAGTGACAAAGATCTTCGGTTACTAGTAAAGATCTTGGTTATCTCAAAAGTACAGTCACCAAAAGTTTGACGGTCTTGCAATTTTAATGTTTTGGAATCGGAACGAATTGTCTGAGATTTGTCTTACACAAATGATATAATGAAAGTATCAAACTTTTACAATTTGGCAAAAATTTTCAAAGAATTATTTTTTTCAATTTCAGTTTTTAGTTATTCTTTGTGTATCCAAGAATACGTTATGCACATAAAAAATTAATATTTGAATGCAATTTTTTTAGTTTGGGTTCATTTTGCAAGAAAAAAGAATTTAAAAAATGGGTGCAGTTTCGAAGCTACGTAGAAAAATGTTTGCTGCCGTCATCAAAAAATATGCTAGTAGAATTTCCATTTATGAAAACTGCATGAAAAAGAATTTTTGACAAAAAACGTTTTATTTTTTATTTATGACGATACACCGACTTATATGCCAAAACTAGAATAAAGATGACTCCATTTTTAACAAAACATATGAAATTTGTATAAATAGAATTTTTTCTATGCTTAGTTTATGGAATTGTATGTTTATCAATTTCAGTCTATGATAGGAACAAAAATCACCAAAAAACGAATACATCATTTTCAAGAAATCTACTTTTCCAAATTGGACCGAAGTATAGTTCATTTTTTGTTGTTCCATGCTCAAAAATTTCTACAATTTTTAAGAGGAAGGTTGTGATGTTGGTATTTTATTCCAAAATTTTGCTGAAATTTGATAAAAGAATTTAGCTAGTTTTCAATCCTGACGTGATATTTATTACAAAACATCATTGCAGGTTATCACTGCCTCATAGTATTGGTAAGGAGCATTATGTTAAAGAAAACTAAAACCCACCTGAATACAAAGTTCTACTCCATTTTCAAATGGTCAGAACAAAAATACTTCTTTTGCAAGATTCAAACAATCATTTCCCCTCAAATCTAAATGACTTGCAAGTTTGAGCTAATGTCTGAAACTAACAAATGCCTTATATTGCTTTATATTTGCCCTACATTGCTCCAACTATTGTGAAAAACTTGCCTTAGATTGCTTTAACCGTTGCGAAAAATCAGCTCTTGTGGCTAACCGTTCAAAACGGTTGGCTCGAAAACACGTGTTATTGATTCAAATCTTAAGATGATTTCATTTCCGACTAGAATTAGTCTAGAATAAAAAAAATTGCTGACAAAAACCTGGATAAGGCACAAAACTTTTTAGGAAAAACTCTGATTCAAATGAATATTTCGTAGTAGCTTTTGTCCAAATTGTCGAACAAAATTTAAATTTTTCTCGTCAGAATTGAAACAATTATTAGGTGCAGCAGTAGAATTTATGAATATGTGGGAAAAATTGTAAATGTAAAATTAATTTACAAATGTGAATAAAACTCTGTTAAATAAAGAAAAATTTTCAGATTTGTAAGTTAGTTTTGAATTTACATTTATACTATGTTCTGCAGTTTATTTTAGGTATCTGATAGTTAGCAGTGAGCAAATTGCTATTTTGATCCTCAATTTTAGGGAAAACTGGCAGATTTGTGAAGTTTTCACAAAATTTGAATTTTGATTCAGCTTCCAGGATAGTTCAAATTTATCATAGTTGTTCGTGAGTAGTATCTGAACTACCCTTCTCACTTTATTTCCAGCAAAATGAATCATTAACAGACCAAACTGTGTATTTTGTAAAATGTAAACGGACTCCGCAACGGGCTAAAATAAGACTTTTTGCGGATTCCGCAAAATTGCTAATTTTCTTTGATCTTATTTGCTGTTTTGGATTCCACGGACAAATAATTACGACCTTGTCTTGCTCAAAATTGCTTCAAAAACGTTCAATTTTGCGAAATCCGCTTCAAAATTTGTGGAACTCGAAGCAGTTTGTAAAATCCATGAGCAAATAGTAGTAATGTGTTTTGTAAAGTTAAGCTGTCGTGAAATCCGCAAACTATTAGTGGATTCCGCAAATTGTAAGCGAAATCCTTAAAATGTAGAATCCATGAACAAATAGCAGTTTAGGGAATCCATGAACAAATATTTTTTACGTGTTTTGTGAAGTTAAGCTGTCGTGGAATCCGCAATTTTTTATTAGAATCCGCAAATTGTAAGCGGAATCCCCAAAATGTATTAAGCGGAACCCCCGCATTAATTTGCAGAATCCGCATTAATTTGCGGAATTCACTTACATTTGCGGAATCCGAAACCACTATCAATATTTCCTCGTTGCGGAATTCGCAACAAAACTAATGTGCGGACAAAATTTATGCTAGTTATTTTTACGCGGAATCAGGGAAACTTTGTGAGTGGAATCCACTTACATTTTCGAGCAAGTTTAGAGATTTTCGCTGAATTTCAGGAACATACAGACACAATATTGTGCGCCTATCCAGTGCACAATTTAGCCTCGTAATGATGGGGAGGCAGGTTTGTATTCGCTACTAATTTTCATGCAATTTTCTTCCAAAAGTTTAATTTGAATTTTTTGTAGTTGTCGATGAGGAAGATTTTTTAATTAATTTTTTTCTGCCTCTGAATTGGGATAACTTTATTTTGATCCCAAATTTAAGACTTGTTTGTTAAACTTACAGTAATCGAGGTATCTGGTAAAAGTTTTGGCGAACATGACGTTATTTCTGGCTAAATGGAAAATTTTTTTTTGAAAAAAAAGCTCTTTATTATGCTTTATTTCTGCAATGCACAGTGTTGTTTATGTAGCAGTTGATTTTGAAGAAGATTATTTTGGTTTATAATTTAATCAGAAAATTTGATTAACAATTCAGCTCACAGATTAGTTTGAGCATTCGTGCGCAGAAATTTTCTGGGGGGAGGGGGGCATATTTTCGAAAAAATATTCAGGTCGACCAATTTAATAGGTCGGTCAAAAATACGCTTAAAATGACGTTCTGAGCATTTTTTAAAAGAAAATTGACCAAAAAAATGGGTTTCTTTGGCGCGCGATCTCCCCTCAATCTTAAATATATTGGCGCCGAAGGCACCTTTTGAAAATTTTTGAGGCTGGGCAGCCAAACTGTGTGTCATTAAATGATACCAAAAGAAGGACCATTTGGAAAAAGTGTGTCACCAGAATTGGGGGGGGGGGTTTGGGGGAGAGGAGGAGGGCCGTCACCCCTTCCCTACCTCGGCACGCTACTCTGAGTTTGAATATCCTATAGTTGATATGAACAGGTTGTTATACACGCTTTTGTCCATATCAAAAGGAATATATATATTTTTAAATCTCATGTTTATGAATTGATTTTTTTCATCTCATATGTATGACTTGTTTTTCTTCAACTTAAACTTACAGAGCAGTTTGAGTATCTCGTAGTTGTTTGTGTGTGCCCCCAGAATGACAGGCGTGATGTCACTCGTGTAGTTGCTCTCTCTCGTCCTCTGTCCCGGCTGCAGTGCCATCATGCCCGCCGCCTCCCTCTTCCTGATCTTGGGCTGTCTGTAATTCAACAGCTTCTCAACCGCTAAAGTCACCTGCACAAAAGTTCAAAACATTCGGTTTTTTCTGTTCAAAGGCCCAAAAACTGATTTCTTTGCTATTCTAAAAGTTTGAGCCTGATGCTGCTAAAATCTGATTGGTTGAAATTATTTTCAGCGAGAATAAATTTGGATTTCAGATAAAAGTAGAAGCTGAAATAGCAGTTTTATCATTTTGGGCTGTATAAAAAAGACCCGACAATTTTTTTTTAAAGTTTAAGGACAGATTTAGACTTTAAAAGAGTTCAGGAGAAACAACCAGTGGGGTATGTAGAATTTTTTTTACTGAAGGGTCAACTTTTCTAGCAGTTTTTAATATTTACGTCAATTATTTAAAATTGTTTGCGTTCTGCCTAAACTCTAAATTGACCTTCTTATTTGGTAGAGTTTTCTGCTCGAATTTAGAAACTGCAATAAAAACCATAATAGAAAAAAGCAATCTGCCAATTTTGAGCCAATCTAGCAAGCAAATTTCAAAACTTAGGTGACCTTGAGACTTACCTTCCAACTGAAAAATTAGCTTTTGCGTGCAAAACTTGACGAAAAGAAATCATTTTTAATTAGTTTAGTCTGTTCAACTTTTTGCAGTTCTCGATAATTAACAAACGAGGAACGAGGTTAAAATTTTTATCAATAAATATCGATGAAATTAAAGATGTCAGTGCTACACAGAAACATCGACAGAAGTACAGTGCTGATTTAAATTATTCAGACAAAATGAATAAACTTGAAAATAAAAACGTGTTACTCTAAATCAGGTATGATTTACTCAAAATGTATGATGGCAAATTTTACTTAGAATTCTTGCAGAATATTTTATGGTAAAACTCAGATAGTAAAAATTAGGCCCAAAAATTTACTTCATAACGCATCTTTTTTGACGTTTTATGGCAAATCAAAAAATGCACCCGAATTACCAGATAAATGCAAACAACTCTATGTCAATGTAAGCCTTTCATGTATCCCAACAGAGCGAAGGCTTGATGAATTCTCTAAAACTTCGGGCAAAACATTTTAAAACTGTTTTCCAAGACAAAATTGTCTTTTTTTATAGTAGAAATGACACTTTTAACCTTTTTATGAAAAAGAAAACTTACAAATATCAGAAAATTATAACCTTCTGGATTTTTGTTGTGCTACATAAGAAGTTACTTCTGACTTAGTTGTGTCCTTAATTGACCCGCTAGCTTTTCCGCAGTTTTTGATTGAAAAAAAAACTTAAAAAAACGATCGGTTATGGAGTTTGAAATTTGGGACAGTATTATTTCTGCTTGGCACTGTAAAATTTGGGACCAAAAATGGGACCGTATAAAATATCAACCATAACAATTCTGTTAAAGTTTAATTTCCTAAATTTTATCTGAAGTCAACCAGTTTGAGAAGCACGCTTTATAAATAGAGTTTACTTCGTTTTTTTTAAAACCCGATAGTATAAGAACTCAAGAATTTTTGAGCCTAAATTGAAAGTGATTGCGATTCTACGGATGACACTTGATTTAGCATGATGGTATCATTGTATGAATAAAATCAAATTATTGGCTAAATTTTTTTCCGGTCAGCAAATCTGGACGATGATTGTTAATCTGGACGATGATTAACAAAACGTCTCATTTTGACAATGAAATTTAATTTTTAACTAAATACAGCTTCTAAAATATGTGTCAAAAAATTAATTAACTTAAGTATTTTATTTTTCTGCGTGGTACAGCACATACTGCAATACTGCATGTGCAGTAACGATTGTTGACCTCGCTGCACACTAACCTTGGGACTTATTTAGTTATCTGTAATTATATTCTTATTAACTTAGTCGCAAGGTCATTTTGGTGTTGAACATCGAACCGACTTCTTTCAGTTGTTATTGAGCTCTACGTACATAAGATACGGTAACATGAGCTGGTTCAAGGAACCGTTAAAAAAAGAAAAGAAAAAAACTTAGTTTCAAAGACTAAATTAACTCTTTGAACTAAACCTGTTTTCAACTGACTGTGCAGCATTAGTTACCTTACCACATGGCGCAGCCAGCAGGATTCATGGCACAAGATAACCGAACGGATATGGGCATCCCATTTTTCTGGACATCAATTAGTTCGGATCCAACATGGAACTTTCAAATTTGGTTGGACCAATTTATGCTAGCGATGACAGTGAAAGAAAATGTGAATCCTGAGATATTACTAGAAGATCCTAAAGAAGTTATTGATGAACTAATTCCTCGCCCAGAAACTCCGGGAACAAACGAAGATGCACAGGCAGTAGCGGACCGGGAAGCGACAGATAGAATAGCAAGAGACAAGGTAATACTCGAAAACCAAGAAAGAAGGGAACGCGGACCTAAAGTCAGACACAATGTGTTCTACAATGAGGTTCAGAAACGGCTTACGTCTCGTCTATTTCTGGCTCTACGCACGGATGGGAAAAAGAAATTCGTGGAGAAAAATCCACACACAGAAGAATCAAAACTTGAGTTTAGAGAAATGGTGAATTTGGTCAAAGTATCATTTGAAAAAACAAAAAGAATCACGTACGAGCGATATAGACTATTCACCAGAGCCCAAGAAACTGGAGAGGCGCTAGAATCGTTCCACGCGGCACTAACTGCACAGGCAGCTACGGCGTTTGAAAAATACAACACTACAAGATACCCTACCGCTCGAAACGTTTACGCCAGACGAAGTACTCAAACGAGCTATTAAATTTCAGCAGAGTAAGCAGAGTTCCAAAAATCAGTGACTGGAAACACAAGCGTGGGCCATTTTCCTGGGCCACAATTTAAAATAAAACAAGAACCCATAATGACAGTTGGGATTAGAAACACAAACTACAAAAGACCGAATAGGGATCAATCCAAAAAGAAAGGGAATGACAACAGAAACGCAAATTCTCGAACAGATCAGAAACCATGCACACGATGCGGCAGAACATTCGATGAATGTCACTTGAAAAATTGCCCAGCAATAGGGTTTACCTGCAAGAGCAAAAATAAACAAAACCATTTTGCAAAAACGTGCCGCTCGAATCAAGTAAACGAGATTGCGGAAGAGACCTCTAGCTTAGAGGAATAATGTAATTTAATTCACAGCTTTGATTCCTGCTATGAGTTTTAGATTATGGTTGTTGAACCAAAGTCGAGGAAACCACTCAACAAAAGGTTTGAAGAAATAACATCAGGAATAGACGACGAAAACGAAACCAACGTTTTTCAAGATATCAGAAAAATTGATATACGACGACACCCAAGATCGCATCAAATAAAAGCATTGAAAGCGCTGGTCAGAGTTAATAACCAAATCATCAATATGACGATAGATACAGGAAGCCCAGTATCGTTCCTGAATTGGGCAACAGCAAAGCAATTATCGGAGGGATCATCTGAAATCAAATTCATCCCAGCTGAAAAATTGATTTTGACAACGCAGTTTGTAGACTACAACAAACCTCAAATTAAAATTGTAGGAGCAGTACGTGCAAATATCCGTTCAGCGGGATGGGAAGTTCAAGACGTATCCTTGCTGGTCACAGAACGTCGAGCAAGATGTATTCTGGGTCTGAGTTTAAATGGGAAAGTAGGGATTCATACATCTCAGAAATCAGCTCCTACAAATAGATCCAGTTTTGAAGTGCTACTGTGTGAGCAGTAAGAAGGTATGAAACAACAATTTTGTGAAAAATTTCGGTCTCTGATTGATCGTCAGGGAGAATCGAAAAATCACGTAATTATTACAAATTAAAAGACCCGCTATGTCCGATACAAGAAAAAGGTAGGAGAATACCTATTCATATTCGAGAAAAAGTGCAAGTAGAACTTGAAAAATTGTCAGAAGGTCATTCATATCACAAAACTAGACAAATGCACAAGTGAATATTTTATTGCTCCAATAATAATAACGGTGAAAAAAGACGACTCTGTCAAGTTGGCATTAGACGCAAAACCGATAAATAGGCAACTGTTCAAAAATAATTATCAAATGCCAAATGCTGATGAGCTATTAGATGGAGTGAGTCAAATAGTAACTGCCAAAACAACCGGCACACTGTATTTTACGGTACTTGACTTGAAGTACGCGTAAAGCCAAATTCGATTAACTGCTGAAACAGCTAAGCAATGTAATTTCAACATAGTCGGCGGACAAGCGACAGGAACATACAGGTTCTTGACAGGGTTTTACGGGCTAGCGAACATGCCCGCAGAACTTCAAAAGACTATGGATTGTACCTTAAAACATACTAAAAACACATTTTGCTTCCCGGACCATATATTGATCGTTTCTAAAGGGGAAGAATAGTACACGAAAAGCTGAATGTCTTGAGAAAATTGGATGACAAAAATCTAGCGCTAAAATCAGCGAAATGCGATTTTTTTCTGACAGAAGTTAATTGGTTAGGACATAAACTTACACCAAGTGGTATAACACCTGAAATTACCAAAACAAAAGCAATACTCAACGTACAACACCCGAAATCGCTCAAAAAATTAAGATCAATTATGGGTAGTATCAACCACCTCTTTAAATTTATTTCTAACGCAGCGAGTTTAACCGACCAGCTTAGACCGTTGCTTAGAGAAGAAAACGAGAAAAAGAAAATGAAAAATGTCAAATTGCCCGTCAAAAAATTCGAGTGGGGGAAAAGCACTCCTTAGTTTTCGAAGAGATCAAAAAGGCGGTGGCACGGATTGCACAAATAAATTAATATGACCCCCTGAATAATACTCTGGTAAAATGCGACGCAGGCCACAGCGGCCTCGGGACAAAACTGGAACAACAGACAGACGAGGAGGAATGGGTACCGATTGCACTCGCATCACGTTATCTTATTTCACTAGAAAAGAAGTATTCTACAAATGAGCTCGAACTGCTTGCAGTGGTATGGTCAGTTGACCGGTTTAAATACTACTTTTTAGGAAAAAAATTCAATCTAGCGACAGACCACAAAGCCCTCACACCAGCATTAGGGGAACATAAATCTAATAAAACGTATCAATCTAGACTCACTAGGTGGGTAGACCGTCTGCTACCTTACCAATTTAAAGTGGCCCATATACCGGGTAACGATATGGGGATTGTAGATTACCTGTCAAGAGACCCGATTAGAGAATCGTGGCCTGAGTCAAAATTAGATGAAAAGTTAGTTGTAGCGTCGATTGATCAATTTCATAAAGCACTCGACTGCTTAAAAAATCGTCTAATTGATACAACAATCATTACTCGCATTGAAAATGAAAACATTCTAGAACATTCTGAATTAGGACACAAACTGGAAAGCACAGGACACGTCATTCAATGGTTGCTATAGCAACCGTTCTGTTCAAAAACGAACAAGGCTCGACCGGAACGAAAACGGTCAAAACCCACGTCTCTCAAATTGCGGAAAAAAAAATTTAAGCAGGATATCTCATTGTAAAAAGTCGGTTGATAAAAAAACAAAAAATCCAAAAAACGCAGAAAAAGAGAGGAAATTCGCAAAAGAGCAGATGGAAGAAAAACCGAAAAAGACAGTAAAACTGATGAATCGCGAGGCGAGACGAGATCAAATGCTAGAACAAGTAACGGAGACAACCTATTGAAGAACAAGAACAGTACAGACAGGAGCAACAGGAAATGATTGGGACAGTTCGGACTCAGATATACCGCAAGTCGAATGGCAGAAAGTAGACACACTTAACAAACAAAAGAACACGGGAAATTCAACATCATCACGGGCGGAACCAATGAAGCTAATGTCCTTCTGGGATTAAGTGGTATCAGAAAGAACTGACAAAGTAACACCGGAGAACATGTTGGAATTGGAAGCGTCAACGGAAATGACAAGCCCACAAGGACACATCTCAAATGCGAAAGAATCAGAAATCATTGAAGTGGACCTTACAGCTGATACACCGCAGAAAGCCCATAAGAAAGCCTAGTTGCGGGGAGAAATACCGAAAGGAAATCGCAGGACGAGTTCAGGCAAGCAGAACATCTTGAAGACAACTACTTACTCAATCTTTCGAAACTATTTGATCGAAAACTTCTAGCAGAACTTACCACAGAAAATACAAGGATGGACAGGCTGAGAAGGGTCATAGAGCGAAAAGATCGACACAGCTTCAAGCTAATGGGCCCTACACGAAATCACTATGGCACCAGGTGTCCGTCGTAGACGGTAGATTGGTATTAAAGAGGATACATCGCAGCCACCCAGGACAGGAAGCAATGCTGCATGTATCTTGATACGTGTGGTGGCCACATATGCACAAGGATATTGTGAATATGGCTGAAGAATGTAGGAGTTACCCTCGCTAGGGTAAGAATGCTAAATATATTATACCAAAAAATGCATCAAAACCGCTTCCGCTGCTTTCGCAGCCGGGGCAAGAACTACAATTGGACTATGCGGGACCTTTAGAAGATAACAAGGGAATGAAAACTTACCTACATATAGCTATAGATAGATATTCGAAATTTCCATCGGTAAAGGTCACAAAGTCGACTGGGGGTAAATCATCAGTGATATTTCTACGTACTTATATTGTCACACATGGAAAACATGAATCAATAAGAACTGATCAATTCTCGGGCTTTAAAGGTAGAACGATGAAAAAATTCCGTACCGAGCATAACATAGAACACAATTCTGTCCAGTAGGGGACCACAGGGGGTGTGGTCTGGCCGAACGAAAAATACAAACTATCAAACGAAGATTGGGAGTTATGTTATTGGACGAAAATGTCACATCGATAAAACTTGCTCTGAGCACAATAATTCGGGATCTTAGGTGGAGCAAACAAAAGACGATCCAATGTTCGCCATTTGAAGCTCATTTCGGACGTCTTCCGAAAACTGAGCTTAAAATCCTAGGGGATTCGTTTCCTAAAATTTCTGCTCGTTTAGATAAAGAACATCTGGAGCGTTCAGCACTAACTGCCTTTCAGCTCAAGAAAAAAATTGGCCAGTCAAGAGACAACGTAAAGATTGTCAGAAAAGAACAAAGCAGTCGAGAGGTCAGCTCACTGTTTAAATCCGAAGTGGAGACTGCGAAAGATAGGGACCGAGCAAAAGCGTTAAAGACGCTTTTCGAAGCAAACGCTCGGTGGAACGCAACTAGATGAGACACCTCTGCTAACGAATTGAGGTGAATCGTCGATGAAACAAGTACAATCAATCCTGATTTGCGCAAGGAACTCTTGTATTCATGGGAGTTTGGTTTCATTGAATACAAACCTCAAGAGGACGAGCCAAGATCACCCAACCTATTGAGAAAGGATGAAAATCGAAAGAGTAGAAAAGCACTAACAAACCCACTAAAAGGCAAGGTGCAATCAGAGACTACCCACACAATGAAAACGGCTGCAGGTGCAGTCCATAGAAAAAGCGACATCGCTTAAACAAAAATTGACACCAGTGAGCTGAAGGAGAAAAGATCGAAGAAAGGCAACGCAAGAAGAAGCCCACATGGAGATGAGCCTAAGACTGTATCCAAGAAAACAGAAAGCGGAAAACAGAAAGCAAATAGCGATTCAGATGAAATGCCGGAAAAACAAGAGAAATCAGAAATGGCTAATGCCGCAGCGCTATACCAAGATATTCATTTAAATGTCACATCCAAGGACACAGAAGTAAACGGGGGCCTCTATCTTTCAGTAAAATGGGCTAAACCTAACAATGGGGGACCAGTATTGGAAAACTCAAAGAGCTCGGTGTCCAAAGAAGCTAAACTAAGTGAAAAAGCAAACCTGCCAAGAGGCAAGACGACAGAAAGCTGCCACAGCAGCAAATGATTCGGGACCATCCAATGCACAAAACACGAGTACGCTGTCATCCCCTGCGAAGTCATACGTTCCGAGCACGTCTACTCCAAGAAAAAAAATAAACGACAACAGCAAAAAGTTCACGAGGCATACATCGGTGGATAAAATACTCAAAAGTTTTCAGAGCCGCGATTTGACCACAGACGACTGGAAACTAGCCGACCAAGTACTTACGAGAGGGGTACAAAATCCGCAGAAGACTCACTAAAATCTAGGGATATGGGAGGCGAGGAAAACAAACTATTCCACCAGGATTCTCCGATGAATCAGACGACAGTGACGTTACAGTGAGGCGCAGTGAACGACATACCAAAAACAAGGGGCCCAGTCGATATGGGAATCCGGTAAATCATTCGGTTAAACTGATCAGCTCTCAACAGGATATAACAGATCTCAACAAGGCCGCTCTGGAGGCGTAAAGGATGAAATAGGCAACCTACAGAACAGATGTTAACAAACCAGTGGATACACAACTGGGCTTACTCGAAAACCAACTTTTTTAGACGAAAATTTGGAAGCGAAGCCCTGGATATCTCGAGAACCTGGAATGCATCGTGGCGGGTCCCTCTAAATTTTGAAGACGACATACCCAAAAAACAAGAAGAGAAATGAAAAGTTGAATCGAATTCAGAAGAGGACAAATTGATTTTGAAAAACTAATTAAACTGAGTACCAAAACTCATACCTATTTACTAAAATATCATAAGACTACTATATAAAATTTATTTAACCCATGGGGAGTGTGGTACAGCACATACTGCATGTTCAGTAACCATTGTTGACCTCGCTGCACCCTAACCTTGGGACTCATATTGTTATCTGTAATTATATTGTTCTTAACTTAGTATCAAGGTCATTTTGGTGTTGAACATCGAACCGACTTATTTCAGTTGTTATTGAGCTCTACGTACATAAGATACGGTAACATGAACTGGTTCAAGGAACCGTTAAAAATAGAAAAGAAAAAACTTAGTTTCAAAGACTAAATTAACTCTTTGAACTAAACCTGTTTTCAACTGAGTGCACAGCATTAGTTACCTTACCACATTCTGATCAAAAAGGTTGCTCAAGACACTGATATTATCATATATCGGCTCCTTTCCACTTCCTCCGCCCACGTTTTCAATTTGTTTTATCCTAAAGCTTTGGTGTGTTAATATTGCTCAAAGCGTGATGTTATCAAATGAAGAACAGTATGAAGGAGAAATCTGTTCACAATAGTTAGTTCGCTCATCATGCAAAAGTTCATTGCATTGTAAAAACACTTAAATAGTTGGTCAAACTTGAATTTCAAATGTGGGGTTGGGGAGGGGGGAATGGAATGGAAAAGAGCCCAAATACCTCTTCCTCTATGGCAAACAGAAGAGCGTCCCCGATGTCCACTTTGTGTGCCAACAAGAGGTCAATCAAGTCCATGTTCTCATTCTCAATCGCTGAAAAATATAAACAAAAGGATTGCTATAATAGTTAGTAATCAACGGGGTGTGGTGGTGGATTGGCTAACTCCTCGCTTATCAATGGAGGAGGGTCCGAATTTTGGTACCAACGATGATTTTAATAGCCCGAAAAAACCTAGAAATGTTGCATGTGATTCTTAGCCCGGTGCACAACAACGCCTTTTTGTAAAAACCTGAACAGCTCGTACATTGGTCTACTCCCTCATGGAAAAATTGTCTTACATTATAAGCTAATCTCTAGAATGTTACAATTTTCGCTGGGTCTCGACAACAGACTACCGATATTTTCTTGTATGATGTACATATGTCAAATTTTTGAAATTTGGATTAAATTTGAAGAATCGAACAGATTGAAAGATCCGTCAAATGATATCAATTTTTGATTTTAAATAAGTCATTTACGATATATTGATTAGTTTCCTGGTGGATAAATGCTGTCCAATCAGAGAGGCTGGATCATGTATTTACTTTTGTCCCCCCCCCCCCCCCCCCTCAGTGTTAACTAACCGATATGAATGGCAGTCCTGCCCAATGCGTCTATACAGTTGATGTCCATGTTGAAGTAGATGGCGGCGTCTTCCAAGAAGAACTTGACCGAAGTGTAGTCCCCCTTCTCAACTGCCATGAGGTACTGCCTCTCTTTAGTAGAGGTTGTTGTGTCGCCTCTCAGGATCTTCAGGTGGACTCTGTCCGCGTCCGAGATCTGGTTGTACTGCGGCATCACGTGATCACGTCTTCAACACACTTGACGACGCTGTTATAACAGTCACGTGATCACAGGTTCTCACACCAATTGGACTCATTAACCACACTTTTAAATCACGAGATTTGGCTGTCAACTCACGTGATCAAAGTTTTTTAATCAGATTGATTTCTCTTTTTGAATAGTGCCAGTAGATGGCGCTCTGCAAGGTCGATGGTGTCAAAAGAGTTCAAGGGCCCAGAGACAATAGGTAATCCGATAGTTTATTCTTGATTTCTGTTAATTTAATAAAATGAAAGCTATATGGATCAAATTTCAAAAACTGTAACGAAAGAACTGTCAGGTTTTAAGAGACGATTAGCTTTCTGTGCCAGGTTTTGATGCAAAATCTTCAGATCTGTAAAAAATAAAACAAGGATTGGATGAAACTGAACACAAATTAAACAGTATCTTTGATCAAAAAACCGCCACTTCGATTATAATTTTAGATGAATAGTTGCGTTTATTAGCTATTTTTCTTCGAGCGACAAATTGCTTGTTTTTTATCAACTACTGTTATTGTTGGTATTAATTGATTCATCACTTTGCTAAATGGTTGCGTAAAATGGCAAGTTAGTGAAATGGTTTTTGATTTCAAATATGATAATTTCCTTATACCGGCAGGCACTTTGACTTCAGTTATATTAAGCAGAGCAAAACTGTTTAAAATCTTGTTAGTTAAATTGTTAGTTGAGCGGAACAAATTGGGGGGAAACTCGCGTTTTCTTCTTGTTGTTTTATGCTACAGGTATTTAACAAATAAAACTATTTACTGTTGATATTTAGTGTTAATAGTTACCGTGGTAACATCAGTTAGTAGCTAAATTCGAAACAAAAAAGGCAAAAAGAAGAAAGAATTTAATTGATTTTCAATGAATGTTTTGCAAATGAGGCCCAATTAGCGCACTAAAACAAGAAAAAAGTGAGCAATTGTTGTTAAATTGATGCTGTCATGACGGTATGTGGTATTTCTGTTAATAATTTTGAATCAAGTTGCTGTTTTTTATTTGTTTTTCGGAATGTATTCAAAATTCGGCAATCATATTAAGACTGATATTTTGAAAAACGTTGAAATAAATTAATAAATTTTAGTAGAATGAATACAAGTTTTGATATGACAAGCATAAGACTTTGAACAACCACAAAAACACTCCTACTCCTGTTTGAATTGATATGAGTCTACTTCAAATCAAAACTATAATTTATCAAAACTTGTTTCGAAAAAAAATTCAAAAAAAGTCGTACGGTTATCACGGATTTTTCAATAAATTTTTATGCAAAAAAAATAAATTCATCAAGACACGAAAAAAAAATTGTTTTGGTTTTTTTTTCGAACATTTCAGTCCGTACTTTTTGATAAGAAATAGTTGATATTAAACAACAGGAAAAAAAATTTCGAGTAACTCACTGTCAAAAAACTTGATCTCTTCTTTGGCTAAAATTTAGCTGGGTAGTGTTTTCTGATTGTCTAACCTCTAACAAGCCGGCCATTTTTCTTCGCGAGACGGCTAAACTGTGAAAAGGAGGTTTTTAGGTATATACGAACTTTATTCGGCTATCTAAGTTTTCAAGGCAAAATTATAACAGATTAAGTCAAAAATCCTCCAAAAACAGATCGAATCAACCTTTTCTCCGGTTAACTAAATAATGAAAATCTTAGTAGGCCGTATTATTATTAGTATTTAACCCAGATAACATCCCACAAATTTGATTCAAGGTGGCGTTCCGGAACTCTTTTCAAAATTGTAAACGCTTAAGTATTTTCATGACTTCTTTAAAAAAGTTTCAACGCGAGTTGCCTTTATAGATTTATGAACGCACAGTGTTTAATCACAAATTGAACCATATCAAAAAGAGCCCACTATTTGTAAAAGCAATTGTCAATTTCATGCAAAATTGATTGGAATCGGCGAGTAGCAAGAAATTCAATGAAATTTATTTTTTTTGCATTCATAAAAGTTAGTGTTTTTTTTTTGCTCAATTGGAAAACTAATCAACAATTCAGCTGTTATTAGAAATGCATATAAATCACAAATGCGTGCCATTACGAATAAATGTCTAATTTATTAATTAGTTTGCTACATAATTATCATTGTGGTTGATATTTTCTCAACTGTCCAATCGTGAGCAGTTTATACTGAAAAGCTTAAAAACGAATGTTCGTAAAGATGCTACGAATTTGATTTGGCTTCATTGATCTCTTGCTTGATTTCCAGCATATATTTTATGTATTACGAACCCAAATTGTGTTTTTTTTGCGGATGTAAATCAGCGCCAAGTTTGAATGTCGGTCCTCCTTCATGTTGGAGCGGAGGTAACTTTTTAGTAGTTTCATGCTCGAAAAAAAAAGCGCTCAGCAGTGCATACTGTCACTGGGAGGGTGGCACCAATCTGGTGCAAAGCAAAAATTACTGGCGTTGTGGCTTTGTGACACACTCTGAGTGCAGCTGTGAAGGTTTCTGGGGTATCGGTGTGCAGGGGGAAGCGGCACATGTTTTTCCAAACTTCGAACTTGCTGGGGAATTCACCATCTGGAAGTACTCCTTCGTATAAAAAAGACGCATTTTCACACCTTGAATTTTCACACCTCAAATTTTGCTTGCTTTGATATGAAGGCCTAAGACACTGGCGCCAAAGGCGCTCTTTGAAAAAAATTAGGTAAATTGTCCAAAAGGGGGAAATCTTGAACTATTTTTTCCGAACTGTGAATAAAATTTTGAACCTTTTTTAAAAAAGCCAATATATAAAGGTGAGAGCTTCAACATTGAATGGAAATTATTTTTTTAGGGCCGTTATGGTATGCTGTGTAAAAGAAGCAGTTATGTAGATTGTTTTCAAAAAAATAGCACGTAGTTTTTTCAGGTGTTTCGGGCGTAAATAGGTTTGGCTTGTTTTTTAGCAAAACAAAAACTTGTAATGCCTTATCCCACCAGAGTTCGCATTGCGCAATTTTGAACTTTTTGAGGTCGAACTATATCATACACTCTCCCACGTCATAAGCTTTTAACTGCACGAGTCTTTCGTCTTTGTCGATTTCCAAAACCAACAGACAAACAAATATATCAACAAACAGACTTTCAAACCAACAAACAAGCTCAACTACCCAATGTACAATCAATCATCTGGCAACATAAATGTATAGCGTCATATTTAAACATCAAAAGTATCCGTCTTACCATATTCTGGAGACAGTCACGCTCTATTCAATTATTAATTGAACACAATTTTGAAGAGTATTAAAGAACTAATTAGGAAATAGTTATAATATAGTTATAAAATATGCTGCAGCTGAAACCCTGGGCGGTGCTTTCAGTGCCTTCAGGCGTGAAAAAAGAGTGGCGACATGTGAACAAAGAAGATGAAGATGATGAGTTCACTGCATTTGCTCTTAATGAAGATTACTTCGCTGTTGGATCCAAACATGGAACAGTCGACATTCTCAACAGGTGGCTAAAATACGAATAAAATGTTTTTTAAAAAAAATTATTTGCTGAAAAACCCCCAGCGTGTCACGAATTGTTGAAAACCAGGGCTTAATTAACCACAACTACAGTGCTGATTTAAATTATCAGAAAAAAAAACAAGTAGAACTTGAAATCTAAAACGCTCAATTTGAGAAAAACGCTTTTTAAATTTCAAGTTTCATGCGTTTCGTTCGGATAATTTAACTCAGCTCTGTATTCGACAGCAAAAATAATCAAATAGGTTTCTTTTCAAAACTTCCTTTTCCATAAACGAATACAAGATTGTTCCCCTGATCAAATTGTGGCACTTTCGAAGTTGCTTCGATATAATCGCTTGTCTATTTAAGGTCAATTTATATATTTATATTTATATATTTTTTCGAGTTTGCTCAAAATAAAATTGTCGAGCCGAATTCTGTGAGCCAAATGCAACTCATTTTTAAAATATGGTAACAAAGTTGCTGTTGAAAATTTATTTTACTCTTTATCAGCCTGAAATTTCTATAACACCACAGTATCTATAAGTTTTTGGCCAAAAATTACGTTTTGCTTCGCGCTTTCCCTTAATATTGATACTTACGCTATATTTCAAAAACAAAAACCAACCTTAATAATCGGTTACTGTGCAAGTAGCAGAGAATGTTCCGACCAAGTAGAAGCAAACAGGACAACAGATTTTGAAGAAAATGACCAGAAAACGAAAACAAAAAGATACTACAATTTTTCAAAAAAAAATCTTTTGTTTAATTATGAAGTTTTTGATTCCCAAAACGATTAAAAACCTCCAAAAAATGTTTTTTAAGTTAAAATTAACCATAACTAAGCTTTTGTGAACGGCCTAAATTAAGCATAAATGAGTGCGCTTGCTCGCTTCCTCGAATTTAGACGAAAAATCAAAATCTTCAAACCGGTTTTTCTAGACGCTTGGAAAACTATTTAAAAAAAATCCAACGTCGTCCAAATCACGACTGAAAGAGTTGTATTATGATATGTCACTCAACTCTCTCCAATGATTATTTGTGTTAGCTGATTTTTTGTGGAAAAAAATGAAAACATACCCGAAAACAAAGTTCCTCCCAATTTTTCAAATGGTCGGGACAACAAGCTGTAGATCAGGGTCTAATTTATGCGAAAGCAGACAACATCCGCATCCCTATTTTGCCCAATTTTTAGACCCAGCGAACAATTTTTCTCAAACTTTATTTAGTTTGAATATCGATCACATGGATAAAAGCATCTTCTAATTCAGAATTTTTTCTACGTCTGCTTTTTTAAGACTTTGTCTTAAGGTGGTTATTTGTTTACTTGGTTGGTTGCGGGTCATTTTTTGTACGATTTTTTAAAATCCGTTCGCTTTTTTCTAAATTCCAATCATAATTATTCTTCTCTAATGATCGTCACCTATTTTGCATCTATTTTTATTTCATTTTTAAAAGATGTTTTAACTGTTTAATTTACTAGATTTTTTGATTAAATCTAGATTTACAACAACTGGCTGGCAGCGTATTCAGGTCACATTTAGTTGAAAAAAAAACAAAAAAAAACATTTTGCTGCCTTTCTTGAGCATTTGTGTTATCGAGACTTTCGCCTACAAAACGCCAATATTTTGAAAGAACTGATTTCAGCGCAGAAACCTACGAGTTCAGGTGTACCCCACACCCTTTATTGAATAAGTGAGCTAATTCTCCACATGATTATTAGTTGAATCAATAAATTAAAGCAAAAAGTGTTATTTGGTTGAACTGCAAATACAAAATAAATGCTTGAATGCCTATTTTTTTGACGGAATGTTTTTTGCTAGATTTTTATAATGAGGAGTTTCAGTACTAAACATTAATGGCGAACTTTAAATGTTGAATTACTTAAAATTCATATTTGGATATAGTGATCTAATAAATAGAAAAAATCAAAAACATTTTCCACAAAAAAAAGATATGAGCAAAAACGAAGCACTTTTGGTTACGTGCTATCAGAAGCTGTTTTGAGGTTGCGAATCTATCCCGAAAAGATGTCTGTCTAACTTTCCATAATTTCCGAGAAATTTTTGGTTTTTTAAAACACTTTTTTTCAAAAATTTTTGATTTGATTTAATACTGCTAGTGCAAAAGTCGTTTTGTACTAAAGTCCTAGACTAAAAATAGCGAAGTTGTAATCTAGAATGTTCTTTTTACCCTCAAAATTTAGAATGATTGAGATTTTGATGTTTTTCAAGTCTTGGTTGTAATTTTCAGCTAAGTTTATGGCGAGATGGTTCCATAATGCAACATAGTGCAGCCCTAAGATAGCCTTGACATATGTCAAATTTAGGAAAATTTCTTAACTTCGATTATTTCAAAATTTTTCATAGATAAAAATTGAAAATAGATAAAACATTCATGATCATGCAACTTTTATATTTTTAACTTTCAAGGTTCAAGGGTAGACTCTCAGTGATGGGTGTTCATTTTGCCTTGGTCTATCTTTTTCCTAGTCATTGTTTGTCTTTAATAAAGTTTCGATGCTGTGTACGAGTTTAATTTGGATAAATAAAGTTTCTTGCCTACCTAAAAACTTATTTTTCTTAAAAAAATCTTTTTTTTCTAATATTTTCTATTTCTGAGAAATTTAAACATATTTTCGACTACAAATGTTATATCTAATTGCCATATATTCTTCCCTGTTGCACTAATTTGACTATATTGCTCATAAACTGCTCGTATCAGGGATAGTTTTTTCGCATTTTTCTATTTTTTTTCTCTAATCTGAAGTTCAAAGCAAGAGAACTAACTTGACGCGTACGAAAAAACAACTGATGCGTGTTGGAAACTAGTTTATTCCAAAATTTGCTCTAGAGTTCCAAATATATCACGTAAGCATACAAATATATATTTTTTGAAATGATAGCGATGTCTCATATTGTTTTATCATTTCATTTTCTGTTTTGCTTTTGTTTCGTTTTGTCTCAAATGCGAGTCGAAGATTTTCTTGAGCGTCGAATTTCAAAAAAAATGAAAAAAGTCAAAAATTATCCAAACTATTTTTCCGAGCTCTCTCAAGCCACTAAAAATAATCTATTTTCCGACAAACCACGTTTTAGCAAAGCTCGCTCTCATTTTGTAGTATGTACTAGCGCCAAATGCGTTTTCAGAAACCATGTTGTAAAGTAACACCAAAAGGGGTCCTTTTGAGTTGACAAAGAGTCGAATCCCTGGGGAGAGTGACCAAATCCCCCCTTAAAACCGCACCAGTTTTGACCAGAGTTAGAAGACGAGATCTTGTGGTTTTTAGAGTTTCGCTGGATACCGTACTTACCTTTAAATCCTCGACAACTGGTCCAATCACTAAAATTAGATTCTCTTTGGAGAGTGAGAAGCCTTATAGTGTTCAGCAGTTGAGCAAACTGCAAGCGCAGGAGAAGAAAGAGATTGACAGTCTAGTCGGGAACAATCACGCGAGACATTTGAATGAGGGGCCGAAGAATGTGTTCATTGCATTTGTAGTTGCAGACTGGAAGGTATGCGTGTGTCTTCAGACGAGTTTCAGTTTCTAAGAAGTTTTTTTGCAGTTATTTTACTCAATCCCAAACATTACGCCCAATCGATAAGCACCCAAGAAAACAGGGGTGATGCTGCGCGTATAAATACTTATTGTAATTGTTATGTTAATAAATCTAGTTTTATTGAATAAATTATGACACTAAAATTGGTTCCTGACTAAATTTAGGATGTTTGCAGCATTGTTATATTTTTTAGTTGAAAAGCTCTGAATAAAAACCAGGATTCAAAAATGTAATAATTAACTTCTTAATGTGATTTGTTCAGGTTGAAGTATGGCGACTTGTTCACACCTCATCTTCATCAGCCGGAGGAGAAGTGAAGGGAAAGATAACAGCCGAGCTGAAACGACAGAACTCGCTACACGGGGTGGGTATAGATATCAAACAGATCCGTTACCCCCCCCCCCCCCACCTCCCCCTCCTACAACCCCTCCCCCTCCCCCTCCCATCCCTCCCAATAATAAAGAATCCCCATTGAATAGAAAAATTCAACTATTAAGCCTAAGCATATACGAGTGTTGACCTAATAATGATTCGCCCACCAGTTTTGCACTCAAAGTGGGGTTAGTTAACAAGACCATGTACAAAAAATGAGATAAGGAGACAGTTATTACGATTGAAATCATATATTTTTCTTTCCATACTACAAGCTTCTTGTTTGTCGATACAAAAGATTGACAAGACCAGAATTTCAGACTTTTTGATATTTGAAATTTCAAAAAAAAATGAGAAACTTTGTTGACGTTTTCATGTCAACATAAGAAATATGATAAGAAAAGTTGTACTTATGAATTTTTTTTATGTAGACAAATTTCGAAATTTCTACAAAAAAATTGAAATGTCTCTTGAAAGACATCAAAACCCTGATGCTGATTAATTTTACAAAGTGATGAATTTTTACCCATTTTGAAAATTATCAATTTGGCCAATTGCAGAATGGTAACACTCAATGTGCTTCGTTCTGCTAATTCGTTTGCTTGTTTAACCCGGCTTTTAAATACGGTCATTTCCAATGGAGACAAGGATTTGGTTTGAGTAATACGCTTAAAAAATAAACATTTTTCTGATACATAGCATGTGTGGGGAAATTATGTTCAAAAAAAATTAAAATTCGCCATATTTCAACAAAACTGAAAAAACCATCAGGTTTATATGAGTTGAAAAAACAATTTGATAACTTTCGTTGCTTGAAAATCTTTCACACAACTCGGGCTCCAAGGTTTCACATGAGCATTCATCGTATAGCGTAACAAGTGTTTTAAAAAATGCACCTTTGGTATCAAGTATACCACTTTTTATTGCCTTCTGATTTTATGAAAAAAGTGTAATAACAAATAATCGCAGATAGAGGAAAGAAAAAAACCACAATCCTTTTGTTAGAAATAAAATTAGAATTTTTTTTCTCTATGTTGTTTTTTACGCAGCTTTTATAAATTGTTACATTTTTTGCGGTTTCGAACATGTGCGAAAAATTGATTAAAATTTATCAATCAATCTAACTTTTGAAAAAATTATCTTAACTTAATTTGGTCAAAGGTTCGGGAGGCAGTAAAAAGAACGCAAAAAAATGCAAACTTAAAAAAAAATCAAAAAAGTTAATAAAAAACATTCTGATAACAATCAGAATAGTTTTCACAATCATAAATTAGTAGTATGCATATAGTGCGTTAGGATCGGGGGGGGGGGGGGGTTGTCATACATGGATGACCATTAGGTATAAATCATAATGGTCACCATGTATTAAATGATCAGCAATGGTCACCATGTAATAATCCTAATTGTCACCACATATAATTTTATACCTAATGGTCACTATGTAATAATCCTAATTGTCACCATAAATAATTTTATACCTAATAGTCCTCATGTAAAACTTCGGTATATTATTGAGTATTCCCACTGAACGTTGTGGAAACGGGAATGGAATTAGGTTTTGGTCGGTGCATGTTTTCCCTTCTAAAGTTTGGGGGTATTGGTTTGTTTACATGTAAAATGACGTTATATACCTATTATATGCGACCAAACTATATGGTATATAGAAAAGCACAAGATTTTGGCAGCGTAGCTTAACTGTTGGCTGCGGTGAACGATTTCCTTCAAAAATGCATGTTTTATTACTGAATCTCGAAGAAAGCAAAATTCGTCAAGTGCGGCGGCCGCCACCTCTATTTAGGCAAAAATTAATAATCAATTTGACCAAAATAAGAATGAAAAATTTCGTTCAGCCAATTGAAGGTAAAAACAAAGAAAAATTATGGAACACTGAAAACTCTAAAATGATGAAATTGGCTTGAAAATTTTGACATTTCCATTTTCCGTGTCTACAAGAGACTGAAAAATAAACGTCTGAAATCTATGACAAAAACTTTGATTTGATAGAAAGGTTGAAAGAGCTAAAAGGTTGAAGTGGCTAAAGATCTTGAAAAACGAGAACACTGATGAAAGCCAAAAGTGCCCATTAATTTTGCTGCAACCATTTCTAAGACGTGTACCTAACTTGTTACTATAAAATTGAAGTGGAACAAAATTTCTTGGGGTCCGAGTAGAGGAAAACGCATGGCGCTCGACTCTCAGCCGAAAGGCGGCGTTTCGAAACCCGTCCGGAAATTGTACTGAAAGGAGGCAACAGTAGCTGGTATGGTGATATCCCCCCATAGATCGATTTTGTACTTTTTTTCTCAATTTGATAAAAAGCTTAACTTCTCGAATTACTGCTATTCAGTTAACAATTGGGTAAAATTTCAATTACTAAAAGAATTTATTGTTCAAAATTGAATTGTAAAATGTATAAATCAACCATATTAAATGGTTAGTTAATGGGTACGCATGTGAGTTAGGAAACGTTTCAAAACATGATCAGTTATATAAACAAAATCAGAAGCATCACCATTAAAGTTTTTATCAAAAATCAAATGTGCAATATAAATACAAAAAGAACCGCACATGGTAGAGTTTGAGTCTTGCATGGGAAAGTTTGTCATCAATTCAGTCACTTGATGAAAATTCTCGTTCAATCGTTTATACAGATTGGTGTACTGCCAGAGAGGAAGACCGAGAGGATCAGCGAAGTATAAAACATTTCTTCTGTTGCATATCACAATCCAATGTGTCCCCGGAGAATCTGATTTTGAAGTGTTCACAATCATAAAGATGTTGTTTGGGATGTGAGGTGGAAAATTGTCGGCTGCAAATACTCCAAAAAACTTATATTTCAGATGTTTACAATTCTGAATGAGGTCCTGCAACTGGATTTCATCCATTTTCAGACTGTCGAAATGGGAAGGACGTTCTTTGTAACTTTGCGGTCGGAGGTAATAAATACATTGGATGAGCGTATACCCCAAACAAAAATTTCCAGGTTTGCTGTCAAAGCGTTTGAGAATTGAAGATCGAGTGAAACTGAGCAGTTAGTAAGTTCTGGATGCAAGAAGTCATGAGCTGCCTGCTGTGTGCTAGTGAGATCAAAACACATAATAAAGTGCTGTTGGTAGTTATCCAGAGTGATTCCCAGCCCGCAGTGCAACAAACCCAGCGCTGATAGTGTGTTGAAGAAGAGACGCTTATGATCTTGTGTACTGATTGGTGTACTTGCTATTGGTAAACCATTTCGTCTCAAAGTAACTTGCTCCAGTCCAAATTTTTGATAATGAAAAGGATTCGTTCGGTTTGTTCCTAGAAATGCATTATTTGTGTTCAATGCTATGATAATTTGTCTCACCGGTTCACGAGCAAAAATATCTTCCTGTTGCCAGCTGCGCTGACCAGCTGTTGCAAGAAATGTTTTTGTAATTTCTTCTTGATATGGGTAGTTCGCAGGAGTTTTGAGCAAAGTTGATTCAATGGCAGAGAGCACATGGTCGGTCACAGTCATTTTTCTAACATATAGGTTCGCTTCGAGTATTTGCAGCTTGTAATGCTTGGAGGCATCTTCCGATATAATGAGAAAATCTTCATGAGAACGTCTGTAGGAAAGTCTGAGGGTAACACCGCTCAACAAATGCTTGTCACATGTGAAAAAATCAACTCCAGCGGGTCCATAGAACCAAATTTCCCTCGATTCACGGACCAGTTCTCGTTGAGATGTGAAATCAGCTGCATCTATTGCAGCGGGATTGTTTTCAAAACGATATCCCTGACACTTAAGCCATGAGTCCTTGGCTCCTTTGCTGTTAGAAACTTCTGTTCCAATAAAGCTTTTATGCGCAAAATTACTATTGGCATTTGAGATTTTGAGTCCATTAGCAGAGAGGGTACAGTCAGAGAAAAGGGAATACAGGGAGTTGTTTACGAGGAACGGTGAATCAGACACAGTAGGATCAGTGTTGTCGTATCGCAGATCAGCTCCACTTGATTGCGTTACTTTGCATCGTATTTCCAAATAAATTTTTTGCAGGTCAACAAAATTATTACGGTCACCGGTGATTTCAAATTCAAGCATTGGTCCATTAGGTGAATAAACAGGTCCAATTTTTTGATCAAAAGCGTTTTCAAAAGTAATCAAAAGAGGTTGTTTTTCAAACAAATCTAGAGAGCTATGGGTAGCTTCATTGGGTAACAAATTAGCGATCATTTTTTATGTTTGAGAAAAAATCTGCTCGACTTCTCACTGGTCTGGTTTTTCTTCGAATGGTTGTTTTTCTTTTTCGAGCCCCTACTGACCTTCTTCTTCGTAATCCATTCATTGGTGTCTTTCGACGACGTCGTCTACCACCACCGAGTTGTTTTCTTGCAGTTTTTGTGACAGTGTTTTTCAATGCTTGTTTAGGAGACTTCTTTTTCATAGCGACATCAATTAGTTCTGGCGCTGCACTCATCAAAAGTTCTCTGCCCAGTTTTTTCGCTGCCGGTAGAATAACCCGTCGTGCAAACGGTATAGCAACACGACCAATACCAGCAGCCAAAGCGCCAAATCCACTGCCGCGTTGTCGGTAGTGTCCAGAGAAATGAGGAAGTGAAGCTTGCTTTGCATAATATTGTTCCATTGGTTTTCAATCAAAACGCTTGAATTTTAGAGTCAACACAACTTTACCAGTTCCTGCAAAGGGCACTAGTCTTCCAGTTTCTGTGCGCAACTGTACCGATATTGATTGTACAGATGAAGTGAATAATTTTTTGTAGTCTAAATTAGTGAAGTTTTTTCGATGATTAGGTTCAATGCTGCAGGCACTACCGTTTTTGATGCGTCTATTTGAATCAATGACGCGTAACAATGGGGCCTTTGCATCACCAACAGTTTGGTATTGAATAATGTCAATATAGACAAAAATTAGACTTGTCCCACTTGATAAGTCATATGGGAAATGAGATTCGTACAGTTCGTTTCCCTCATAAGATGCATCGAAGGAGGGTATCATTTTGTAACCAATG